TACCACACATTTAAGGACTATTATTAATGTTGTTTTAACTTTCATTCTCATGTGTCTCATGTCACTCTGCCTCTGGAAAATTTATTGTAAAACATACGAAGGGATCACTGTATTTTTTGGTGTAAACCATTATCTCACTTGATCTGTGTTTGTTTTTCTGCATGCCTAATTGTCTCCTCCTTTGAAATTTGTTGGGGAAAACCCCAGAGAGTGTCAACTCAAACAGAAAGTGAATACATTTCAGTGAAAAACGATGTGAACAAGATCCTCTCCCACATGAAGGCAGCGTTATCACGATAATATGTTTCTGTGATAAGGCAAACACGTGTAAATATGAAAAAGACCACATTGCTCTCATGGGACGTATATACCAAAACATAAGTGAAGTGGCTAATGCAAAGTAATCACCGATGGCTATAGGAACAGATCTACCACACTGAACAGGCAAAGGTTGTGCCAAAACGCCTCAGAGACAAGGCATAAAGGAGGATGCGGAGAAATCACATAGTAATAGTAATTTATTTGATGCACACCAAAGACAAAAACAATAAACAAGATACAAAAATTAAACAGCAGTTTGAAAAAGGGTTGGGCAAAGCAGCTGCTTATTTGATTCTAATCCCTCTCACTCATACAACACAAAGCACACACACACACAAAGACAAGGCACAGGCCCAAACACTCTCTGACCCCACACCTTCCCCCGTCACTTGCTCTGTGCTGAGGGCATCACTCTCTTTCATGGAATGACAAGTGGCGGTTCAGAAACAGCACACAAATTGCACAGAACAGGAACTGATGTGATGAAGGAATGAGGGGCGACTTTTATCTAAAGAACACGATTTCTTAGGTAATTGTAAAGTAATAGCACCAAAGTTTCAATTAATAAGTCTCAGAGAGTGCTCAAGAACAAACAAAGGTTAGATTGTTTCTCTGGAACCGGGAGACATACTGTACAGTAAATGTGTCATGGTTAAGGTCCCAGGACTTGAACTCAACAGGAAATGAGAAATGTTTTCTTCTCATCTGGATTGTAACTTATGGTCCTCCACCTGATTGTCTCCATGGAAAAAAAGTGAATAACACGACAATAATTGGTTTGTTTCCCGGATCATGCATCACATGTGAAATAAAACAGGGTGCCAGTATAGTGCATCTGACGCTGTGGAATGTTGCAATGTTTATACATGGCCTCGGACAGGCTTAAGTCTCGGCTAAAAAATCCCATAGTGAGCTGTCACTGCATGTTTACACAGCACCCATTCCTGTTTTCAGAGCCCACCCTCCTCCACTGGAATCTATTTTCTTTTGATCTCTAATTCAAAGGTGCAGGACACATGGCAAGCGCGCAAATAGCAAGACAGCTTGTGATGAGCGAAAATGCGATACAGGTAGCGTCAGAATGGTCACACAGTTTCCTACTCAAGCCACAAATGCAGAGGCTGTGCCTTTTTGTCTGTACAAAAATAAAATGTTGAAAATTAGTGCACTCAACATATTGCACTTTGCACGTGATTGCAGTATTTACCGTTTACAGATGAATGACATGTTCAGGCTCAGCAGTTCTCAGTGTACAGTCTGACAGCAGGAGGGAAAGACCTGCAGAACTCTCGTTCACACAGCGAGGGTGAATGAGTCTGTCACTGAAGCTGCTTTCGAGGCCAGACAGAGTGTCCAGCAGGGAGTGAGTCATGGTCCCTGCCATGTTCACTGCAATTTAAGTTGCAATGCTACGGATGGCCCCATGTTTCCTTTCTGTAGACAGTTTTAAGCTGGCAATAGCCTATGCAGATAATATACCCCATACATCAATGTAGACCGTCTATTAGGAATGACGTGCTGAGGTCACTCTTTGTGTTTGCCGAATGTATGTGAATCACATATACAAACACAAAGACAAACTACAAATATTATTACAGCCAATAAAACAGTATACACGACTTTTTGAATTGAATTAGATTACAGGCAGTCAATTACAAACTATTACAAACCTATTGGACTGGTTCTCTTTGCTGAAGTTACTGCAGCTCCTCTTGTAAACAAGGCTGACGGCAATCTGGGGGGACCATATAAGTAGCTAGTGAGTAATAATTGAACTGATGAATTATTAATTATTCATTTAAATGCAGCCAAGCAGGCCTTTGTAATGCACTGTGCGCCGTGATAAAGAGAGTCACTTTTGTAATTACGTCATGCAGCACCACAACACAACAATTAGGCTGTAACTAAAACTTGTTTCTGTGTGAGAAAACAAGATAAACGGCCACATGCAGCAGACACTCACACGAGTTGTGTTCCATAAGAATGCCTTCAGGTGCTTATGATTAGCAAATACCCTGACAAGGCTTTATCAGCCAGAACCAATGCACTATTTGGTATACTTGTCATTTGGAATCCTCTTTTATTTTCACATATTACGCATGTTCAAAGTTCACTGCCTCTTCCCTCTGTGAGCATAACTTCCTCAATAAACAAGCAGCCTTTTATCTGCATCCACTTTCACACTATATTAGTGAATGAAGGCAGGAGCGACTCTTATGTCCCCGGGCTATCACGCTGTGATAAGGGAACTGCTAAGCACTGGATGTCTTTATGTGCAGTCTGCACATGTGGATTATTTTTTACAGGCTTTGGGGTTTCCTGCTGCTAAAGCCAGCTCCAAGTGTCTTCCAAATCCCAGCTCAGAGCAGCGCAACAGTCAGGTCCGCTCTCAGCAGAATCTGCCACTGCACCTTCTCCTCAGAGAGAACAGCAGTCCACCACATGTGTCTACAGCTATTGACTTACTAAGGGTGGAAAATATCATTATTATATTGGGTATGTATGATTTGTTTTTGAATACAATATTAAATTAATTGGATAAAATCAGAAAGGGTACCCTTTTGTACCCCTTTGAAATTGTTTTAGGACAATATTTAAAGTGTAGCAAGACTGTGGTAAACTTTATGGAAGCAACCATTTGGGGTGTTTCCAGGAGGAAGCCCGGGAGAGCGTGGAGTACTGTTTGCTCAGGCCTATCAACACAGAGGCCGTGTCTGTTGAGCGGCTGGCTGCCTCTACAGCTGGGGAAGACCTTGAACGTGAAATGGTTTCAAGCAGGATTGCTTCTAATTGCTAGAAGATGTGCGAGCAGGTGTAACCGGATCCCTGCGGCCACTTGGAGAGTCAGAGGCGGAAGGAGGTCTGTGGCTTGTGTGTAAGTGTGAGCGGCATATTTACTCAGCACCACCTTTATTAGAGAGCTGACATAGAGAGCAACAACACCACTAATAGTTTAGCTCTTAATGTAGTCGCACTCAGACGACTCAGGCCCTCTGGCTTTACCCTTTGCCTCAGCGGGCAGGCAACGCTCATGGCCTAAATGTCAAGGTTATCTGCTTGACTTTGTGACTGATGGCACGCCTCAACCTTCCTGACATTTATCACCACTGCTGTTCTTTTTTGTTAACACAAGGTCCTTTGCTCTTGGGGGGGAACAATTCACTTTTGATTATCCAGCTTTCTAAGAATGTATAATGGCCAACATCAACCATGATGATATATGATATACAAGTATCTGTTCTATGTGCCTACAAATATTAGCAATATAGAAAGTGGGGGGTATTGGTTCCAGTTTTTGAGGTTTACTGGATTCAGCCATGTTTTGAAACACACAACATAACAAACCATTTTTTTTTCTTAATTCTTAAACTCTCAAACTCCACTCACATTGACCATTCACACGTTTATTGTAAAAGTCTGTCTTCCTATAGCAGCCACATTATGCAGACATTTAACACAATTCCCGACTCATTAGTTATCACTATAAAGTTCAGTACCAATTTATTCCCTCTGTGACTTCTGTACAAGTTCATAATCAGACTCAGAAGATGAAAAGCGGTGGTTAGTGATAGTGGCCTTCTTCGTAACGTATAGCAGTGATCTCACACATACATTACAGTCTTTGCAGATGTATAATGACATACACTGTTCAAGGGCTGTTGACTTTATGCAAACACATAATAAAATGGGATTTGAATACTTGCCATTTCACAGAAATGCAAATAATTTCATATTTTTTTATGAAGGCTGATTATTTTAACATACGCTTCCAGTATTATGCCTATTTATATTATTCATTGTCTTTTTTGTTTTCCTTGGTTCAGAGGTATTATTTGCAATGCAAAGTAGGATAAAACTGCTATCCCTGTAAGTATGTAATTAATGCCATTTCCAAAAAGCCACTCCATATGGAAAACAGGCCACGACGCTCAAACCTTCCACATTTCAGGTCCTTACCACAACACACTCATGTCTGTGTTTAGGTTTTCAGGCTAATTCACGGGTGAATACATAAATAAATCAATGTTTTAAAACATAACTCCAGCCATTAGATTGTCTACTTTGTATTGTACTTTTCTACTGACACATTAATATGTATGACAGACTAAACACCTTGGATGCAATATTTAAACAATAGTAACAAGCAAAACAATTCAAGGTAGTCTTGAATTTCACCTGTTTGAAATTAAAACAAATATTATTCCAATAGTTTAGTTTCACACTTTCTAACACAAATAATGCATTTCAATTCCTTTTGCAGTGAGAAAAGTTTTAACAGGAGTTGCTCTTTTGAATTCCACTGGATTCCACTTACAATCTCATTCTGCTTTCTGGTTGGATAATCCAGCTGGAGAACCAATGACAAAACATCATGTTTATGAAATTAAAAAACGTTTAATTATGGACATTGTCGATTCTACGAGAATCCAATGTAAGAATCTGATTCTTAGCTTATAACATGTTGTAAATGGCAAACACATTACTTTTAACAAACATTAACATTACAGTGATTTCATTTGATGTTTTGTTTGTCCAATGAAACTTCCCTGTCTTCCTCTTTGGCCATATCAGGTAATCCGATGTCTTAAATGTGTAAGAAAAACAGAGCGACAGTTATTAAGTGTGAGCAGAGATAGAAAAGAGGAGGCTGAGCAAACGAGTGCAGACAGATGGAAAGAATGAGCGAACGAAAGGAGAGAGTAAACCTGAGTGTGCTGTTGGGACGCTCCGAGCCTGGTACAGAGGCACTCCTCCCCTCTCCACGGCCCCATGAGAGGTCAGGCGCAGCTATGCGGCCTGACAGCTTCCGTTTGCCGTTCGTTTGTTTGGATTCCCTGCCATTAGCTTGGTGAGCAGCTTAACAACAGCTGGTTAAAGATGGTTCTTTATTCCACACTGCTCACAACACAAAAACTCACCAAGGGATGTACACTAGGAAACAATCGAGAGACACAGCACTCATGCCATGACATGGGGCTCAGAGTTGCACAAGGCAGCAAGTGGAAACAGAGTCATTGATTTTAGCTCACAGCAAACATTTATTATCTTGCTTTTAAAATGCATGCTAAACAAGTGTGTTTACACGCACAGTCGAGGACGCCATTTCATTTCACTGCAATCTCTGTCACAGCTCCAGACAGGAATAGATTTATTGGCCAAAGAGTGTTTGTCCAGCTTGCAAATGTCCCTTTTAAGAACATGACTTTGGCTTTTTGAGGTTTATTTACTGTCTGTTGCTAAACTTTTACAACAGAACTGCACACCTGCACTCAACAAACTATGTCCTTGACTATATTTTAGGCATTCATTGTACATTATTAAAAACATCTTGAAACAATATGGTACTGTTTGATAGACAAGAAAGAGATGAGTTATAGCTAAGATTGGACCATTTTCATGTTTAACTAAAACTTTACACTGATTGAATTATTTGATTGTGCTCTTAACTGAAACAAGGTATAAGGAGGGTCTAAGAACAGTTGATGATCCAGGACATGGACATACTAAAACAAAAATTAAATCTTAACTTTAGCACAATAGGAAGGAAGTCAAATCTCCATCTTTAGCAAATCGAAGAATCAAGTATAAATAACCCCCTCTCCTGCTTATAATCTTGTTTGGACGACGTGAAAACCATACTTGACGGTACACGCGAGAACACAAGCTCTTTTATGTAGCGTATGGCGTATTACCTCAGGAAATATTTCCAGTTCACATGTGCTGACTAAACACTGCCTCTTGTGAAATTAAAAGTAAATAACCAAACCCATTTATAATACACCTGGAGCAACAGAGTGACTGGGCCATGAACCGTTCTCCGCTTTCCCTTTTGTGGCAGATGTGATAAACGCATGGGCTCGGGCTTGTTCTAAATATCATACAGTTACCAAATACTAAAACTAGGCTTGAGATACGCATGAGACGACACTTTCTAATACGGTGCAAAGGTACAGTAGACGGAACTCCAATTACATGTGGTCGAGTTTAGCACCATGGCACGATGTTAACAAAGGCGTGCTGCGTTTATTGCACTTGGCAAGCCACCTCAATAATTTGATGTAGAAGGACACTAATAACATGGTAGGAATCCAGGAAGGCGGTGTAGCGCGTTTGTGCTAGACTTAGCTGTGTAATGGTTACTTTATTGTTTATTTATTTCTTGTTTGATGTGAATTGATACCTTGAAACGATTTGGAAATGGCTCAGTCGTATATCATTGCAGTAAGATTCCAATGCTTATGTCATGAATGCCTATTTTGATGATCAATTGAATAGATCATTTGTAAAAAATAAAAATAAAAAATAAAAAAAGATGAGAAAACATATTTGAAAGGCTTACAATTCGTTCTTTGCCAAGTCGTTTGTTTGAAAAGCCAGATCTATTTTAGTGCCGTACAATCACCCTTTTCTTGAGCAAATTCTTTCAAATGTTCTGCTAATAACATTGTAGCTAGAGGAATAAAAACTTTTCGCAAATCTGTTTTTTTGCGAATGAACTTGATTTTTAGTTATTTCTTGATTAATTAATTTGTTGTTTAGCCCATAACATTCCAGTGCATGTATTTTTATTTATTTTTTCAAATTTGACCAAAACAAACAAAAAGTGATTTCATCATTTCACTCTGTATTTGAGACATAAAACTTCTTTATGGCTTGTTTTTATTCTGCCCTTATCATTTTTTAAATACTAAACTATTTCATTAATTGATTAGTTGTAATGAATTGACATATTTATAAATGATAAATCAATAAAAAAGACAGTTTGGAGACATCACTAGTATTAAGTCATAATTATTCTGCTTAAATTTGTTTCAATACAAAGCCCTACAAAACAAATATGTATGTTATAAAAAAAAACAAAGAATATAAAAACCTTTCAAAAACGTCAGTATGTATTTATTCATCTTGAATATATGTATGTATGTAACAATATCAATAATAAGGGTATTCAGTGTGAGAGAGAGGGGCAACTCCTTTGGTCAGTGCATAAGAACAAGGCATTATTGTGGTAAACCAAACAAAAGCCAGTTTTTTTCCATTGTCGAACCTCAACCGCAACATTCCTGTCGATGTGGCCGAATGTAAGTTGGATTAAAATAAATACTGAGAAGAATATTTTGTACTTTTAAATTTTGGATATGAGATTTGACCATTTCCAGACGATCACAAGCCAAAACATTAGATAACTGTGTAACAGACGAATTCTGTGTAAACGTTGGCGTACTTCATGCAAAAGTGACTTTGTTTGTGGAAAACCAGATTTGCACAAAGCAAACACACATCTGGTCCATTTGAAATCAGATTTATCAGTACAGTTCACTTGCCCCCAGAGCAAAGACTTATGTGGCAAAACACAAATATATGTGTGCAGCTTTCAAGAGCATGTGATAAGTTCATTTGGGTTGAACTCTGGAGGTCTTGTGTGTTTGGTCGCTGCTCGAAACTTAAATTTTCCTTCAACATTTAAACAAACCTTCTGTCACTTCTTGAGTCTATTTCTCTGATGGCACTGTGCTCCCTTGCGCCGCCCTGTTTGTGATCAGTGGTTCTGCACCCTCCGATCATCCAGTTTATGAGACGAGAGACGAAAATAATATCGAGTCCTTTTGACAAATAGGAGAAATCAAGTGATACAAATGTGCAGTTTTGTTTCTGCCTCTGTTATTTTGAGTCGATTGTAGCCTTTCACTGCAACTCGTACTTTCACTATCAGCGAAAAAGGAATATTGTAAAATGTCTGGAGGTGGAAAAACGAAAGACCCAAACTGCAGGGCTGCAACTCAAAAATCCTCTCCCGCCCAAAAAAAGAGGATAATGAATAATATGTGTCTAAATTTAGAACTATACTTTTAATGAATTCAGAACATGTTCAAACCTGTTACAATTTACGAGAAAAGAATCGCTGAAGATTTATGTGGAAAGCAAGCAGTAGGAGAGAGGTGCGTGGTCAGAGAGGGTTTGGGCCTGTGTCTTGCTGTGTGTGTGTGTGTATGTGTGTGTGTTTGTTGTGGGCTGTGTTGAATGAGTGAGAGTTGCTTCATCCATGGTTTATTTGTTTATTATGTGTCTTGTTGTGTGTCTATTTATTTTTGTGTATCTTTTTTGTCTTTGTGATTTCATTTTATGTACATTTGGCATACAAAATCTTACTTCTCTTACAACCACAAGGGACAACAAAAGAAGAAGGGCATAGGTTATAAATAAATACACCAACGGAGACCCAGGTGAGATACATTAGGGTTGGGGGCAAGCGATCGGAAAATGAAACTCAGCAGACACAGGACAACCAATGCTACAAAACAAAAGAAAAAAGTCTAATTCTAAAAGATCCACACCACAACCGACATTGCCTTGAACACGACCAAACTCCTTGTCTATACTTTTACTTTTTCTATAGTGCATATGGACACATGTGTAATTATTTCACGTTGCGCAGGATTACATTGTCGCCGATCCGAACAGCAGTGTGTGCGAAGAGGAGCTTGAACTGTTTGTCTGCTAAATTTATCATCAGGCCTTTGGGAGCGTTGAAATGAGAGCAGTGGCCTATTACTGCTAAGAAGGTGTTTTATTGAGAATACGCCGACATGCCACCCCAGGGAGAGAGCGCACCGACTGGGGGGGAGGGGGGTGCGGTGGTAGATGGGGGAGGCCCAAACCACTTGTGTTTGACAAGCACAGCTCCGGAACGTCATTGTCTTTTGCTTCCAGGAAATGGAAAACACATCGTTATTCACTATTAGATGTGTTTATTGGCATTTTTGGCGTGATGGTCTGAGTCAATAGTCTATATAGGTCACGCCATCTTAATGATTTGTTTTTTAACCGAAAAAAGGTGATTTATTGCTTTGTGACCAAGACAGAGTATTACATCATGAATGATATATTGTTTTTAATTCTTTTCTTTAGTCTCATATGAACTCGATACTGTAGCTGTCTCCCTATGCACGATATTGAAATCTGAAATCAACTATCCACCCGCCAATCTCAGGAAACTTTATTCTACGGCACAAGTTTGCGTGAGTGAAAGTAAAGGATGTATGGCTTCTGGATCTATATCTTGATCTATCGGGTTTAGACATATGTTTTACTAAATTTAAATGCACCTTAATCAATGAGGAACACAACTGTGGTTTCAGTTCTTGTAACTTACTTTGACAAACAAAACGTTTTGACTGAAGTTCACAACATACCCAGCTCTTTTTAATATTATATATCATAGCATGTTCATGTCACTAAATGCTTATTCACATTGCATAGTTTTAGTTTAGTTGTTGAAAATAAAATATCTAAATGTCTCTACTATTCCAGTTGGTAGACACTAAAGTGAGTTGCTAAAAAGGCTGTAAACAAATCGATTACTGCTCTGCACTTCACCCAAGACTATTGTTGCATCTAGAAAAAAACCATGAGTGCATCGCAGTTGTAAGTTCCTGAGTTCTCCAGTAGGGGGTGGGCTCCAGTTCCCCTCCTCCGTCTCATGAGTGCAGGAGGGTGTGAAGAGTGTATGATATCATGACAGCTAATTGCTCTCATCGGGATGGACTTGGATGGATTGCCTTGTAGCCTCTATAATGATCTCTATTAATGAAAGTGCCTTGAGCCCATCTCGTACCAAACACTGAACATATGTGTTTGAAAGTGCATCAAAGTTTGCTGCTGTTGTGGAATATTTGACTTTTCTTTCCTTTTCAGTTAAATACAAACTGTTTCATGGAGTTGTTTGTTGATAATGAATGAAACACCAACAAAGCACAGTGTTCTCATAAATAGATGGATTGTTAAATCCTGGCTGCAATGTTAAAGCTTGAGTAAATATGAAGAAATATCATTTGGAAGAAGCTCTTTGACTGTTTGTGTTTGTTGTTTGTGAAATATCTTTGTGCTTCCACTGAATCTCATGTCAAAGAATGATAAAGGCTGCCTCTTCCTCTTTCTGCTGGATAACAGTGTTTACTTATCTTTTGTTTAATTAAAATGTTTCTTTTCCTTTGATTTCCATTGTTTCAATGGCACTGCTGGAGCCGACAAGGGTCAAAGGTTTAACAGCCGTCAACTGTGTGTGTGTGCGTGTGTGTGTTAAGTACGTCTGTGTGTTGTGCGTGTGTGTGTGTGTGTCACAGGGGCCCCACACAAAGCCCCAGTTTCACCTGCGGACTGGCCTGTGGCTCCTATTGTCAGGCCTCATTTGAATTGATTATGTTTAGAAGGCTGCTTGTGATTGGTGGAGAGGGGGCGTGGTTGATTGGATAGTTTTGTATCTTGTCAGCCAGCAAGCAACCTTGCAATCTGTGTGTATCCCGCAGACGGCTCGCACACAGCCCCACAGCAGAGCAGCCTCTCTGGTCCTGCCGCCAACAGCTCCTCCTTTCTCCCTCTCTCCCTCCCTCTTCTGGCTGCTCTCACTGCTCAGCTCTCCGCTCGGCTTCACTCCGCACCGCGTGGCCCGTCGCTCTCTTTACTCTGCCAGCTAAATGGAGTTTGTCAGGTTTGTCAATATGATTGATTTCTGTGATTTTGCTAGCTTTTCTTGTCTTTCGAAAACTTGACAATTGAATTTGCCCAGGGAGAAGGGCAAGCACAGACTTCTGTCTTTGTTGATGTACAGTCAGTGTAATTGGTTAATTTTTTGTCATGTGCAGAGAAGTGCTCTGTACTTTGCTCTTGACAATGACAGCAGTTTGTTTCTACTTTATTCAGAACATTGTAGCATGGCTTTGTGTGGTGTTGTTTTGTTTATTTCTACAAGTTTGTAATTTAGTGTATTGTTGTTTATGCTTGTACACAGAGTATACTGTCAACTGTGTGCAAGACTTACATTAGAAAAATGTCTTTTAGTGTGTTTGACTTTTGTGAGCTAACCAGTCAAGCAGGATCTTTGTTTTTAAGTTATGGAGGCAGGTGTCTGTACTTTCAATGTGAGGGAAACATTATGTAAAGTAGTTTTGTGACTACCTGAGGGGCAGACTGAATTGTAGCTTGTAGAGTGTCTATTGTGAATTGGTCAGTCTTTGCCATTGGCCTTCACTAATCCTTCTGTCCTTAACGTGTCACACTGAATTAAGACAGAGTCTGGCACAGCTCTATTGGTGACACTGTCACAGCAGCACCACGTTGGAGACACGCTGTCACTACAAATGTCATCGCTCAGAGTGTAGAGCCACTGCTTGTGTGATACACACAGAAAGTTCTTCTGCTTCTACTTTCTTCTCTTTCATGTACTTGCTGTAGTTTGTTAAATTCTAATGTAGTGTTGTATTCTGAGCCTAAACTATGCTGAGCTGTATTTAAGTCTGTAGTATTACAGCACCTTGCATCAGTTGAGCTTAAACATGCCACTAAACATATGACATTAAGAGTGCTGAGCGGAGCTGGGATGGGGCAGCGTAATGCCATGCAGCTGTGGAGAGCCTCACAGTTTGGGAGAGCTGGAGTGCGAGCTGATTGGCTTGACAGTTTGTAATCAAAGTTGATTTATTGTTCATTAGTAGTGCATTAGCCCTTTCAGGCTGGGGCGTTATTTGTGCAGTGGCCTGTCAAGACGGGGGCTCTGCCAGCACCTGTCATTTCTAAACCATGACATAGGCAACCAGATATTAGCTGTGTACCCAGAAACAAGAGGGTGGAGGGGTCCGCAGCAGACTCTGCCCCCCGCTCAGACTGGAGCTGCTGGGATAGAAGCAGGCCAGCACCACAGACTGGGGAATAGTTTAGCAGTGATATAGTGAGCCGCCAGCTGCTCTGTGCTGTTGCTCCCTGGCTTCCACAACCAAAACATGTTTTTACTTGAAAAAAAGGCATTCATTCATTTTTAAGGGTCATTATACGCATCTCTGTTTCAGATAGGAAGATTAACTCTACACTTGAGATGCCATGTGTTTCAAAGCGTTTAGACGGAGGATCATGATAAAATTACACTCTCCTTTATGGCTCAGGATGTGTTCTTACCATCATCACTGGAGCACGATATATTTCTATATTATGACATTTTCTCAAATTACTCAATGTATAATGCATAGGATTAGGGTTGAAACATGTGGCATCTCAGGTGTGGAGTTAATATCATTTAGAACATTTAAATTGCTACATTTTTAAAGTTTGTGGAGTAAATAATTATTTGGGTTTGTAAAGGAATTGATAATGCTTATTTGAGTTATTCTGAAATAAAAACATGATATGTAGTGTCCAAGTCTGCCGTCATGGAAACGAGGATTAGTGTTGCGCTTGCTTGTGCAGAGAATAGTAACAAATGTTCACAGGATGTGTCAGCCATTGTCTTTTGACTTCAGTTTCATTTGTGAGGGATTTAAGAGACTAGCATCTTAATTAAATTTGAACTGACTCAAATAGTTCATCAGAAAACGTGCACTGCTGCGTAACGGTGCGCCGCTCTGTCGCCGCCGTGAACGTGGGGAAAGGCTGGGATTGGGACCAACGCTAATCTGAGAGAGATGTCTTCTGGAGACTGAGAGGTGTGGCTTCAGAGGGCAACAGAAGTGACAGGGATCAGACCATTTCATCAAAGTGGACTCAGAAGTGTTTTCACAACTTTATGGATTCCAGTGTATTATGAAATTAATGATAGCGTGTATTTGTTAATTCTTCCATATCTATATATTTGTCTAGGTTTTCTCCTGAATAACGGATATTTATTTTTGATGATAAGACTCAGTGAGTTCAATATATTCCCAATATATTGAACTCACACAATATATTATTGTGTGAGTGTGTGTGTGTGGATGTGCATGTGTGTGTTTCCACCTGCTGCTGTTCACTGTGGGAAACATGTGTGTGTCATATGAGTGGTTTATTTGTTCAAAGCTGACACCGCAGCTGATGAAATTCTGTTTGTTTGCAGTTGAAAAGTTAATTAAAATGCAATCGACTTTTGTTTTTACAGTTGTTCCCTGTGAATTCCTCCTACGCATCATCTTCCCCTTTACACAGCAGTCGTTTTATTATATATAATAGATAGTTTGAAATGGAAAAAGATGAGCTGTTCCCATTTGCACGAATGTGTAATGTTTCTGCGTTTTGAAATATTTAGTTTGCTTGTATGTTTTAAATATAGACAGCACATCTTTTGACTCAACTGACATAAGGCGAGGCAAGTTTATTTCATTTGTTAAAAACATATTCCTGAAAAAACTTGCTTGCATTTTTAACACCCCAAACAAGAAACCACCAATAATCATCAAAAATATGTACCGACAGAGAATTTGCTTTTCCTCTCTCTTTTGTGCTTCTTACATTTGGCTGAAAAAACTTAACGTTAGGCCAAGGTAAAACCAGAACATCAAATACACTCAATTCTTTCAGGCTGATTATCCATCTTTTTGTTCATTTCTATATTCCATTTGATGCCCCTCCTAAACAAGAGAAGCCCAAGGGAGCGCTGATGAAAATTTTATAATTCTTACCCCTCCTTCTTCTTTTTTCCCTCATTTTTGAGAGCTGAGCAGATCCTTACAGTGTTCAGCAGTAGATAGTAAAAGCTGTGCTTCTTTGTCAATTCAGCTTTATTACTGTCTCACACCTCTGTCCGTGTTCGTTATCCGGTACGATGGCAGTTTACAATTAAGCTCATGGAATGACAGCATGCCCTTTCTTTCAAAGCAGAAACACATATATTCATTTCATACTCGTTTTTGTCACAAAGTGTGTTAATAAACAAATAATAATGATGTATTCTGAATATATGTCTTTTAATATGATATACATTTTGTAAGGGCTATGTTTGCTTGCACTTGGCAACAATATTTCCCCTTTATTTTAAGTCGTTTTTTTCCATCCTTCTATTGTTTGTTTTGCACATTTTGCATAGCTTTTGTGTGCCATTGAAGACAACATGCCACAACAAAGTTTGCATAAGCTTACCTGTCTCTGCGTCACACACCTGCAGCTTGTTTTATTTGCCTTTGTTGTGCTGAGAATGACATTTTAGTTACACAATAATTAGGTTTAAGGTTCAATACCTTTGATTGTTATTTTTCTCGGTATACTCTCAGGTATTCTAGTCTGAAGATCAGGATTAATAACTTGAACTGTTGCCCAAAGAAATCAATGTGATGAATGAAGTGGTTGTCAGTCTTCCTTAATACCTTTGGCATGGGCCCAGTAGTATGTGAGCTGGTGTCTCCACACATTTCACCTCAGAATCTGATACAGCAATAGAGGAAACAAGAGAACAAGTTATGTTATTAATCACATTTTGCAATCAATAGTAAATAAGCATTTACTGATACTTGTATTTATTTGTTTTTATTATTGTTAGTATTATTATTCAGTGACACAAAAAGCACTGTATATCATAATGTTTTGTCCGCGTGAAATGATGCCACAGACTAAGCGAGTGCATGATATATGAGTGTTACATGGTTTGGTGTGTGTGTGTGTGTGTGTGTTAGTGCATATGTGTGTTGGAGCAGCAGGCCCGGGCCGCTCAGCTCGCCGCCTCCAGTCACTGCACAGCTGTGTGAAAACGGTCCCTCTCTCCTTTATGTTTATGTATGAGATGCACCTGGAGAGAACATGGCCACACCTTCTCCAAAATCACATCAGATATCTCTGGAATCTCCAGAATGTCCTCTTTTTCACAATTCTGCAGCAGATTAACCCCTTTAGGATGTCGGTGTGGACAAATAGTGGATAGATTACTAAGTCATATTCCTTATATTTAAAGTAGAGCCACAAAGTTTATTATTATTCAAATAAATATAGTTCTGGGTCTTTTACACATTTCCTCAATCTTATTGGTTCATAGGATATTGGGACATTTATTGTGTTCCAGATCCTTGTTCATAAAATTGAATACTTTTATAGTTTACTATCTTTTTCACACAAAAACCTGTTCTCGCTCTTGTTGTAATCCAACAGATTAGCCTGTGCCCCATATGTGAGGCCCCTGTAGGAGGAGGTGGTGCTTTGCACTAAATGGGCATAATGCACTGGTCAGGACCATATTTTTTAGCTAAAGAGCCCCCTTCCCTCCCACCTTTTACTTTTACTTAATAGGACGGCTAGTCTTAGGCAGATTTTCACTCCTTCAGCTCAGGATTAAATGGTAGTAGTTACGTTGATCAATAGGTTAAAAAGCGTACAATCCCTCTTGCTGCTAATGACCTCAGTAGTAATGGGTAATAAAACAGGGGTCTGTAATAGCCTCTCGGAGCTGTGCACAGAGCAAACTGCTTTAGCGGTAGTTACTGCTGGAGATGCTGGAGATGCTGGAGACAAGCGTAAAATAGCTATGAGAAATTGCTGTGAAAAAAACAACTATTTAATAAAAGGAAAATGTTATACGTCAAAATTGCTAAATGTGGAAAATATATCATGTACAATTGAATTAGTTTTGAATGCTTGTTATCTGTGTAAAATGTTTTTATACACGGGATACGGTGGCAGTTCACACAAGACAGAGCCGACGGTTGACCTTCAAAATAGTCCATCAAAATTAGCGACGCTCGGAGGAAAAAAGGACTTCTCTGGATAATGACTGTGAAATTAGGGAATGGGCGGCAGGGGCTATGCAAATGACAGGACAAGTCATGTGCAAAAGTCAAGATGAACTGCATATTAAGACATAATACAGCAGGGAATTAATATTTCATTTTCTTTGCGTCCCTCACACACGCTTCCTCCACGCTTACTCTGCGGATGAGAGCGGTTGAGTGCGTTCGCTAGGGAGGGCCTCAAAACGCCTTTCTTCCTCATGGGACCGTTAGCCCGACGCATCTCAATAAAGTTAAGCATTAAGAAAAAAAAAAAAAAAAGCGCTGTCCCTTTTTGACACCTCTGCCCTTTGGGTTGCATTTGCACCACAAGCTGTTCATTATGGCACTACTTTTTTTTTGGTTTATGCTACAATTGGGAGAGGAAATAAGGTGATACGCATGCTCCGAGCCACTCCAGAGACCGAAGACAAGAGCCCCTTAGTCACCACTAATTCAGAGATGCATGAAAAATTCAAGTCGTTAGCTTGCAAGGCGGACGCACAATTTGGGTAACCTTGGAGAAGACAGAAAGACAAAAAAAAAAAACGCTACGCTGCCAGACAAGAGCATTTTGAAAAGCATCTGATATGTTTTTGCTTTTATAATATGCAGAATTTCTTTGCAGCAGTGAGTGGCAGATTACAGACACACTCTCCATGTCCCTCCTCAATGTCGGGGCAATTAAAGAAGCCTGACAGCGCGTCGCGGGGCTCTCGGGGTTTCACAGGGAATCGCTTTTGCTTTTTTTCCTTCTCTGGGTCGCACACGCTCACACCTTTGCAACTGTAAAAAAAAAAGAAAACAAAAAAAGGCTTGGTTTTCTTAGCTCCGCCCACTTTCTCCACGCCCTTCAGTTCAGAGATGAGGGCTATACACAGGGTTCGATTATTCGTTATTTTGGGTAAAACTGAAACTCGACTCAAAGTGTGTATGGTGTGTGTGTGTGTGAAGACGAACTGGCTGATTCTCTCTTTGTGTTTTCCGCTGGGCTTTTGAAAATAAAATCTTTGATGAGGGGAATTGTAATTGGCACATGAGACAGAGTGGTGTAACAAAGTCTAAAGTGAATAGTACAAGTCTATATGCCATCATGCCACATTAACAATGACACACATGTTTGATTAATTAAACAAACTAGCGTCCTTTTGTTTTACTGTGTAGTGCACACCTTGTATTTACATTCATGGGTGACTTCACATGTTTTATAGTTTACAATATTTATTTTCCTCCAATAAAACAAGTTACATAACACTTCGGGCTTTAGTGCCAAATGAAAAGCAGTGCATTGTAAAGTGTGTTATTATTATTAAGTTAATTCATCTGATTTCAGTGTTTGCTTGTATATTATTTCCAAAGCAACAACCTTGTTAATGTGTGTTTGCATGTATTTAGGTTCCAGTTTATCACAATGTCAGAAGTATTGAAAATCAGATATTAATCAATTTCAAGTATTGAAACAGGTTAACAGGAGCTTTTTGGTAGCTTATGAATCTACAGTATGACTCATAGAATGTCTTGCAGTGCCTTAAACAAGTTCTATTATTTTGTGTTAGTATTTTGGGTTCAGGTTATTGTCCTAAGAAAATGTGTTGAAATCTCTCTTTGCTGAAAACTCAGTCCAGTTACTTTTTCTGCTATGAATTATTCCCGGACAAATGTGAGTTTTGTCCAGTTCAATGTCCAAAACAGAGAATTTAAAATCACCAGCATGTCATTGAAATTGATTTTGGGCATTGAGCCTATTCATTGGTATTGAGACAAGGCAAGGTATTATATGTATAGCACAATGCATACACTGTACAACAAAAACAGTAAAAATCAAGAAACATCTTAAATAATCACAATACATTTTATAATGATAGATATAGGGTAGATAAAACCCTTCTGTGCTCAGCTAAACAGAAGCTAAAATCAAGTTTGAAACCGTAGTGAAAATGCCAACACACTCCTGGCTCTATAAACAAACACACATACAAACCGAAAACTGAAATTCTTGTTTATTGTTTTAAAGTTAAATCGTTTTTTAAGTGTGTGGTGTGTGCGGTGTGTGTGCAGGTGTCAGTGGCTATGATGACGCCTCAGGTGATCACGCCGCAGCAGATGCAGCAGATCCTCCAGCAGCAGGTCCTGAGCCCACAACAGCTCCAGGCTCTGCTCCAGCAACAGCAGGCCCTCATGTTACAGCAGGTACACTGCCCCCGTGCACCTACATATTTCCTTAGATTAAGAGCACCTTTGTTCATGCTGCAGTGGGGATAGTTTCAGTGTTGCAACGCACAGTACAGAGCCTTGGTACTAGTTAGTTAGTTGAGTATTTAGGAAAGGAACAGTGAACAGCAACATTAAGCTCAGAGACAGATATATTCTTCACTGGATTATAGCTGCACAGTTACATCTGTACAGTTTCCATCTGTAGTCGTGGTTACTTGAGAAAATAAGTTTTTACCAGAAGTAACTTATATCAGGTGGATGAAATAAACTCCAGGTCTGTTTTTTGACGAGGAAACCATTTTGTAACATGGGCAAAAACTCAAAAATGGTTCTATTTTGTGGTTTGTTCCGAGATATAGGTTAGGTTCAAAGTTCAGATCGTTTGACATATTGGGAGTGGGTTCGACAAAGTGCTTTGCTCAAGTTAAAAATGTAGTACAGCCTCTGCATATGAAGAACGTATCATTCAGGCTCTAGAAAGATTCGATCCAACACTTCTACAGTGCAACACTGTTTAACTAAATGTTAAATATTGATATATATTTTTTCTCTTGTGCAGCAGCAACTCCAAGAGTTTTACAAGAAGCAGCAGGAACAACTCCACCTCCAGCTCCTCCAGCAGCAGCATGCAGGCAGTAAACCCAACAAAGAGGTGAGCATGGACCCTGCTCAAACGTTCAACTCAATTCAGCTTATTTTTGAATAGCCCTAAACCACAACAACAAAGTTGTGATTTAGCACTTTACAAAGCTCTAATGATAGAAAGCAATGGTTTACATTATATTGATGAAAATGTAGTATTAACTCCTATGTTGAAGTAATATGCTGATTTTCTAGTTTTTTTATTGTTTTATCATTATATTGTTCATTGGGCTGAGCTAATGATTGTGTGCATCCAAAACAATAACCACTTCCGTGTTTTTAGAAGAGTGGAACTTTAATATCAAGTCAATTTCACATAATGAAGTTTAGAACGGTATATTATTCCTCACTTTCTCTAAACTATAACGTGGACCAATTTCGTGTGGGGCTCCCTGGACTAGACCAGACTGATAGTTGAGACAGGATACAGGATGCTGTACATGTGCTTCTGATTGTTGTGTCAGATTTGTTGAATAAATGCGAGCAGCAATAGGCAAATGAGCATTAGCGTTTCTGTCTAGAGCGCCCTTTATAATCAAGTAATTGTCCGAAAAGAAAACGATCAAAAATGGATGATAAAGTGTATATGAAATGTTCTTGCCAAAAAACTTTCCTAGCACAATTCCAGATTTTTCATCACAAAATAGTAAATCTGTATGCAGCGCGTGCACTTATATACGGGCCGCAACAGAAGTAGTGGTGTAAAGCTTGTTAAAAAAATTGGCAGACACAAGCATCATTTCTGGACAAAGACAAAGATTATCACGCGGTCAGAAGAAGTTCAAAGGCGATCTGGGAATTTTTGCATCCCAGTTGAAATGCACGTTTGGGAAAAAGAGAAGACAGAGAAAGAGAGAGAGGGGCTCAGATAGAATGCAAGTTTTTTTTTCTATTTTTCCCGTCTGCATGTACACGTCCGCGCGGCACAACTTCAAAGTCGTAGAGCGCTAATTAATGAACTGCGCTCCTCAGTTTGGACAAGTCGTGGCGTGATGCTCCCATAAATCAACGTGACAGGGAGACTTCAGCGGGGCCTTTAGATAGGACCTGTCACCCGGTTGCATCTGATGTAAACAGTCGGCGAGAAAGAGCAGGAGAGGGGAGGTGCAATTGATCAGTGAATGGAGAATAAAAGAGATGGGAAAAAACAACTTTTGAAGCGTATTATGTATGATCACAGGAAGTGGATGCAGCCTCCAGAGGACTCTCCCCCTTTTGCATGTTATTTTTTTTTCTCCCTCTACACAAAAGACAGACGAGGAATTATGCACGGACTCCCCTGTGGCTGCCAGACAATAACCCCCTGTTGTGGCTTTGTGCTGCTTTTTTTTTTTAAACATCAAAATTTAGTTTTTCAAAGATCTTTAACTTTATATTTGAAGCTTGACAATAAAGGGTCTGCCAGTGCCACTCTATATCATTTGTCATGTCTCTCCCTCGTGCCACGTCTTGTTAACCTCTTATTTGGTGTATGCGGTCTGAGGGTTTTTCATGCGTCTCCATGCTGGGATCGCACAGGAGCGCTTGTCAGCTGATGGGACTAGAACTCAGAGAGAAAAAAAAATGCCAAGGGAGACTTAAATTCATTTGCGTCCCCCCCCCCCCCCGTCTTTGCAAAGCCGCCTTCTATTTATTTAACGTTCTGATGAAAGACATTGTTTCTTGTGAACTCGCCCCCGTAGCACTATTATCTTGGACTCAGGCTGTCACTGAAGTGCGAGGAGCAGAGGAACATAAGAACTCCCCCCCTCCTCTGATATGAGAGAGGGATGGGGCTTCACAAGTGCCCAAGAGTTCACTTTCAAATCCTCCAGTCCAACAAAACAGTTGGAGATTTTATTGCTAAGTTTCATTCATGTTTTAATCCTTTATTTTAACGTTTTAATGTCAGAAACCGTTTGCTTTCTCATTCGGACTGTAGTTGTTTTGTCGTTTACCCGGTTAATGATTTCTAAGTCAACCAGAAATTGCACTATTTGGCTTTAATTGTATCTAATTTGTACTGATTTACAAATTAAATAAATGTGGGGGTGGGCTATGATCAGAAGCATGTGAAAAATTTGCTAAAATTTTTGGTATTTAGTTTAAAATTCAGAATATTTTTTTCTTATTCACAATACTTCATTTGCATTCAGCATTTGGGTCTGTGTAATTTAGCATAACTAAAGGTTTGGTGAGTAAAGTTTATGTCATATATATTTGTTGCATAATTGATACATAGCTTTGGGACTAACCGATCGACTGGACGTGTGTTTGGTCAAGTCCAGTCTTACTACTTCTTTACTACTGGATTGTGGTCGATGTTGTTCTTTGTCCTTCTTGAAGTCCCAACTGTTATAGTTAATACAAAGAGACTTGCTTCTTCAGGCCTGTATATTTTTAGAATGCATCGAAGAGTAGTGTTGGGGGGTTGAGGGTCTTTGTGAAAAGCTGAGCGGAGGTGGGCGGGGGTGACGCCTTTTATCTGCCCGCTTCAGCGCTCAGAGCCGGTGACCTGTCAGCCGCGCTGCCCAGACCTTTTTTGTTTGTGAGAGAAGTAAACAAAGTGGTGTATCCTGTCTTTGGTAACAGGGAGCGGCGCACAGCTTGGCACTGGCGCTTTTAGTCCCCCCTCTTTGCACCGTGTTTGACAACTGGCCCTTTACACACTGTAAACAGTAGTTTATCCTGCCAGCATCCGGTTCAGGCCCTGCCCAGGTATGTTATTTGTGCTGTTCCGAGCTCCGAGATCCAGAGAAACAAGTTACAGTGTCACAATGTTTTAGTGTGAGCAAACACTTACAAGGAAACACACACATACACACACATTACAGGAATTTCAAGTAATCCAAGTGAGTTTATGCTAAGTTGATTATAGTTGAGTTTATTTGAAAAATATATTTGAGTGGGAGACTGGGATCTAAAAAGGTCCAAATCTGTTTTCTTCCTCTGTGTGCTGTAATCATAAGCATCTTTCATTTGTTTTGAAGAAGATGGGTATATTAGATAAAGTCCTTATATTTATTGTTGTAACACAGTTTGTTGTTGGCCTTCTCTCCTTTCATATCACTGTCACTTTGCTGCAGAAATCCCCTATTGGCAGAGTGTTTGTGCGTTCGTACTAGAACACTCAGCGTACAGATGTAGCGCTGCTGTTTATGAGACGGTCCCCTGGCTCCGCTGCAGGTCTGCAGACTTGGGAGAGTTGCTCGGGTGGATATTAAACACTTTGATTTAGTCACACATTGTTTGCTAAATTATGAATGGCTGTAATTAAATTCCTGTGGCTCTTATTATGGATGATTAACAATGTTGTTTCATTGTTTGTCATTTGCCATGCGACTCCTCGTTAATTAAGAGCACCACAGATGCATGGGCTACCTGTCTTAAGTGGGCTCGCAAAAATGCTTGCAAAAAAATACAACAAAATTATAGTCTATGGGGACATTTATTGGCTTTTGTAATGAATATTGTTTCAGCGTGCTATAACCTGGTGGTCTGCTGTTGTTCTTTATTATGTCTGTTATGTTTAATAGAGAGCTTTCATGAATGAATTGAGGTACACAAATGTAAATGACGTACTTACTCACCTGAACATAGTAATTAACCAAAATGCTGCGGAATACAGTACCATTTTATTGGTAATGTGAGGAATCTATCGATAAACACGTAATAGTAAAAATCTCTTTCTTGTGGTTGAGCTGGGAAACCATTCTCTTAGTTAAGGGCGAACATGGTGCAGTGAAACTGAAGGCAGAAAAGTCAATTGACTGGATGAATTCCAAAAAACAAATTTTAGAAGAGAGAAAACAGCTCAGTCTATAACGTCATAGTGTGAGGATTTATTGTAGCAAGTTTGAGATCAGAGCATTTAGACAGATAAAAACTATTCCCCGTCTGTTTGTGATTATGGGACAATGTTGTAAGATGGTTAAAAAACTCAAAAAGATGATTTTGTGTGTGGCTGTTTCATATGGCCGCTGTCACTAATGGCCTCTCTCTCCGCAGCCGCAGGTGTCGGCCCAGCAGTTGGCCTTCCAGCAGCAGCTCCTCCAAGTGCAGCAGGTCCAGCAGCAGCACCTGCTCAACCTCCAGAGACAAGGGCTCCTGAGCATCCAGCCGGGCCAAGGCCTGGGCCAGGGCCTGCCCCTGCACCAGCTCAGCCAGGGTAAGTGCACACAGCACTCAGATACTCCTCTTTATATCTGTGAGAAATAAATATAGCAGCACGAGCAGACAAGCACAATAGTAAGTGCCGCTTACTTTAAATAGATACTGTACATATTGAACACATATGTTCATTTTGTTTGTTTCACTAATATATCTAAAATGAGTGTGTTTTGGTACCAATCCATGTTTACTATTGCTACATTATTTTATTAATTTGACTTGTATTCATAAGCTCTCCTTAGCATAGCTGTCTTTCATTATAATGTTCCTTAATGCCTAAACAAATGTCATGCTTCCTACAATAAGCACTATACATGTGTGATTTCTCACTCTCGGGTCGCACCTATTGTAAATGCGCAATCAACATGACATCTCTGTGTAAATATGGCATTTAGGCTCGTACAGCGATCAGAACTATAGGCCTTTGATTCCCACACAGCTCTTCTCTCATTAGCCTGGCATCTCGGCGCCCTGACCTCCAGCCCCCTCCTCACACTGACTGTTTGTTCCTAAACTGCCACTGAACTCGTCATTGTGAAACCAGTTGTTTCTTGATAAGAAGTCAATATCGTTGTTTGGCCAGGAAGTTGTTTTCTGTATTTACTTTAATATTTTACTAAGGAGTGGTGCCATTGGAACAAAGACGCCATCACAACTACATGTCACACACTATTCATGCCCTACAAAAGCAAACAGTTATGAAATAACAAGATAAGGGTGATAAAGGCGGGAGCGCCTGAGTGCTTAGGTAATAGACAAACACAAATAGAGTTTGTACAGTGCTGTTATTGTTTGGACTGGGGATTCAATCATCCAATCACAGAGCAGTGCAATAGGCCCAGGCGTGTACTTCTGTCGGATGATCACGTGTCAGGCTGCAAATACACACACCCCAAGAGTAAAGGAAGAGATGATCTTGAACTCGAACAGGATTTGACACATTTTGCACTGCAAAAATGATAAAACATGAGGAAATAATTGCTTGAATTGAGTGGTTTTTATCTTAATTTGAGTACATTCGTCTTAAAACAAGATTTGCCAATGGGATAAGACATTTAGTAGCTTTAATTTCTCATTCCAAGGGAGACATTTCTTGAATCTTTTAAAGATAAAAATCATTTCGCTTTTCCCATTTAGGGCAGTCAAAACATGCTCAAAATAAGATACATTTTGACAAATTTGAGCGATTTTTGTACTTTTTTTTTCATCAGTTTTTGCAGTGAATACCATTTATGAGCAGATTTTTTGCTAATAAATAAGCAGACATGTTTTTGTAATATTTCCAATACATAAATAATAATATAAGTCTGTTATAAATATCACAAATCACACACGTTCTTCACTTTTGTCTCCATGTAACATTCTACTGAAGTTATGTACACCACTTAAACCAGCGCTGCAGGCTGCTCACTTGTCTTCCTATTCTACACATTTTCTGCTTGACTGTTTGAAGTTATTGATGACCTTTCTGTTTTCCACATGACTTAACTTCTTTCATGCTTCAGCAGCCCAGACTATGCTGCACAGATATGATCTACCGTATTTAGCTTTAGCGGTTAGCAGCGCGTTGGAAGTAAAGGGTTCCACACTGTTTGGTGCTACTTATATTTCAGGGTGAAAAGAGACAGTCGATTCAATGTCGGAAAATATATATATCAGTTGATTGAATGCAAAACTATTTCAAACAAACAGCAAACATAATGGCAGTGATTTTTTTGTGAAAGCGTGCACTTTATCAATATAATAAATCTCTTCTCTTATCATAAATTCCTTTGACATGAATGCCATTGAAGCATCCAACCCATATTTGTCATCCATTGTCTGGGGAGAATATAATGTGTCATAAATCCGATCTTCAGCATCCCCTCCCCACTAACAGCGCGTCCTCCTGACCTGATAAGTGACTCATTCTCAGATGCTGTTTTGCTGTGATAATCAACCAGACTTTAACAGTGATGTTGAATATAGAAGATGGGAAACCTATTGTATCTTTCAAACCAAACACATTGGACTGTTTAGAAATCAATAAATCAATCAAATATTTATTTGTAGAGCACATTTAAAACAGCCTAGGCTTACCAAAGTGCTGTACAGATAACGAGAGAAAAAAAAAAACACATTTATTTTATAAAAATAAAAAACGAAAACTTGTCCCTTTCTACCTGGTTTTAAAAGCCAAAGAGAAAAGGTGCGACTTAAGCAGGGATTTTTAGTGCTCGTTCTAATGTGCAAAGGTAATGAGTTCCACAACTGTGGCCCTATAACAGAAAAAAGCTCTGTCTCCACTAGTCATCAGCCTGGTCTTAGGGACGACAAGAAGGAAGGAAGAACCCATCCATAACACTTGTATTGTATCACATGCATGTATTTTTGCCCTGTTTTTAGATATAAAGAGTTTTTGTTAAATGTTTTCTCTTGAGACAAATACAATGTATTATTTATGTAACAAAACAGTATAGTTCCTCAGCTTTAAAGGTAAAAAAATGCACTAGTTTTAACAATGTTTTTTTTGTTATCCACAAACAATAAAGTTAATAAAACATTTATCATTAGTATTTAACTTAATTGATCAATTACATGTACTCAAATGTCAATGTTTACTTTCCTAATACTCAACCACCATTTGAATTAGTCAATATCTGAGCTAAGTTGCTAACATCACATTTCATACAAGCAACCATCTTTTAGGTACCTTCTTTCAGCACAGATCTGGTGCTAAGACGGAGCATACAGCCGTATAAATGCGAGGAATCCTTAGTTGCTGCTTGTATACAACATTATTTAGTTGTCAGGGAAAAGCCAGTGGGACAATGACAAGACAAATTTGTGTATAAAGTGAAAGCAAAGAATGTGCCCAGCCACAGCGGTACATGAGGGGGAAGACTGTCAGTGATTGATAAGCTCCAGCAGCGGGCCGGGGGTAATAGTTCCTGCTGCATTTGGACAGGACATCTTTCAGACCGGAGAGGTGAGGCGTATCAGCGGGCCAGTGATTACCGCAACATAAACAGGGGTGGCGTAAAGGTCCCAGCCCAGGAGTGAACAATAAACTAATAGCGATGTCACCGTCCCCCCATGGCACGGACACAGCGAGAAGTATAACAGCTTGCTCTAAAAACCCGGCAGCAGCGGGTCCATTTTTTATTTGGGGGTGTGATGGCCTGCAACTGATGTCATTATGAACCTTAAATCAACTTTCTGCTTGCTTGAACATGGTCACCTGGGTACAAGGGGGACAAGGACAGGAAAAGGTTGAAGAGCTCGGCCCGTCTCTCTGCCAGTGCTACCTGCCGCGCTAAAATTGAGTTGGGAGGCTGGTGATCAATCAAGTGTCCCAACAACATACATTTTTTAGAGTGCTTGTCTGTGTTTCCCCAGTCGAAATGAGTGGAATGCTTGTGTTGAAAAATGGAATCATGAAAGATAAACCAATATGGCATTCAGAAGACCGTCCAAAGTCGGGAGAGGACTTCCAGTGTCATTGCATGTCCCGTTGTAATCAAATGGAGATGCTTCCTGAGACCCACAATATACTTACAATTTGTCCAAACAGAAGCTCTCTGAGATATTTGTGTAATGCTCTTTTATTGTCATCTATGTGGAATCATGAGGCATAGCTGTTGCTGAGGTTGGGGAGGTGATGCTGTGAGCTGTAAAACGACATCTAGAAGGAGACAGCTCGGTCCCAGTCCGTTAGCCCGCTCATCACAGCGCTCTATCCGCTGTGGTTTTGTCTGAGTAAACAGCGGCGGAGGGGTCACCAGGACTGCCGGGTAATTGAGCCAGCGTGGGCTGCCCTGTCAAGCGCATCGGCTAAAAATACATTGCCCACTGTCACCTGGCACCAAGTGGAGGAAAATGATTGTTCCCACTGTCCAAGCATAGGACACACACATCAGCCATGACCTTCCTTCGCCAAACCAGATATTACGCACAAAAACACACTTTGAACTGCATCTAAACAAGCGTTCAATTGATACAATTCAACCAGGTATTATTATTATTCTTTTGAATCCCTGTGGTGCCAGATTTCCACATAAAACAGAAACTGTCTGTTGCTCAAACCAACAATGCCCCTGATGATAATGCAACTCAGGGGCCAGGGGATTATCAGGCTGTAACAAAGAAGGGGTTCTCGGCATGTTTAGCCCGTCACAGAAGTTCGATATACCAGAGAATATACACACGCAGAAAGGAGGCAGCATGTTGAAATATCCCAAAGAGGAAAGACGCTCCTTGGAACGTGCAAAGGTTATTGATTTGTCCTGCAATCATTTCCTGCTCTTTGATATGCAAACCATCTCGTGTGAATTTACAGCAATCCTATCAGACTCATTTCACAGTTCTTAGCCCTTGCGTCTCTCTGGAGTCTTCCGCCTCATTAGGCCAATGTTCTCCATTACCAGCATAATTAAAATCTTTAGTAGCTTATCAAATTAAAAATATTTTTGCTGATCGTATTGAGATCTTCACCTCTCAGTTTTCCACAACAGGAATAAATTAAGACTAAGCATTTCGCACATTGTGTTACAATCAGCCATTAAATATGGGGCACTTCTTGTATCTGCTGATGAGAAGCGGGAGGAGGGGGTTGGTCTGGAGAATATAAGGAGATAAGCATGTGCAAATCATCTTTCATTTACTACTGCTCATTTTGAGAATGGATTTAATTAATTGTAATGTTAAACGAGTGGTCTTGGCCATTTGCTCTGCAGTTCCATTCAGCACACAGCCCTCATCTCTCACAGGGCTTTACACATGTGGCTTATTTAAGCACACATTTGAATAGTCATTACAAATCCCCAGACCCGGGTAAGTATTTCACCAAGCTGTGTATTTTGACTGAATTTTAAAATCACTAAATTCTTTGCCCAAGAGGGTTAATCTTGTTTTGCGTGTCGGCTTTAGCCTTATTTGTGTCATACACAAGCACAAGCTGTACAAACTATATACATATTTTGTGGCTTCAAAAGGTTTATTTTAAGATGAACAAACATAATATTATCCTTCTTCATCCACACTTTGGCCTTGAGTGTTGGGATTGCTGTCATTTACGTGCAAATAACACTGAGTCTTTTTAAGCTCTATTCGGCTGGTTAGGTAATTCAGCTTGGCATTGAAAAATATCACTGCTTCTGCAAGTAAGATTATGGAAGAGACAGTTTCTACCAAAAAAAAACAGATTCTCACCATGTGAATTGCAAACATGTGGACTAACCCAAATCATCCATTGTGTTCATTGAGTAACCTGCTGGTCTACCAAATTGTGAGTGTTGATGACCATGTTGCAGGGATTGGCAAGGACCAAATCCACCAAGGCTGTCTTTCTGGCTTTACATCTGTCATGTTTTGAAAAATGACAGAAAAATGTCATGTTACACCTGCCCACACTCAAGCCTTCAGCTTCCTGATTGGATTAAATTAATTCAAATTAACTATTAATTAAACTATTATTTCTATTCTCCCACAGAAATGTTTACTGGTTGTGGTTTTGCCAAGAGAAGAGACTTTTTTAAATGTGTTATTTGAAAAATACAGAATTTGCATGATAGCACAATGTCATACGGTCAAAAATATGCATTATTTAACATGATTTACAATTGGTAGTACTTCTATACTAAGTCACTAATAGTCTCCCAATATTGGTCAAATATGGATCTTTCCAAGGCCCCACATCAAAAGCTTGAACAAAACAATTGTCTGTAAAAGACACAATAAAGACTCACTCTCCATGTGTCAGTAGTGCTCAGAAAATGTCTTCTAGGGATTTTTTTCAAAGCCTTGTGTGCGCAGCCTCATGCTTGACTCGGTAAATGAGCTTTAAGTCTTGTGTGTCAATTGGAGGCGGAACAGAGCGTTAAGTATTTTGCACATTAATGCGCTTGTGAAAATATTACCCCAGGGCTCGTGCTCAAAGAGGGCTGCGATGTTTTCTAGTGCTGCTATTGTAAACTTTTTGTTGTGTGTGTGTTCTCGCTGCCTCTCTGCTGCTGAAAGAAAATGACGGTGATTATTCAGATTTCATGCCATGTCTGGATGTTAATTATTTACTCTGGGCATGTAATGGGTGTGAATGCCAGGGATTTGAGTGTACAAATACGCTTCGCATCACGGCGGAGGCAGAGGAGGGGGCGCACTGTCACTGCTTACCCTGTAGTGGAATATTGTCTAATTAATACTGGGCTTTGTTTACAGATGCTTTGATTTAATTAAGCGATGAAGAGCAAATTCGGATTAGCTGTTAATTGATTTAATTATCCAATTTGTTTGTCTCAGGCATGATTCCAGCCGAGCTGCAGCAGCTGTGGAAGGAGGTGACAAACGCTCATGTGAAGGAGGAGCACAGCAACGGGAACCACAACGGCCACAGGGGGCTGGACCTGTCCTCCCCGACCCCCCCAAAGAACTCCTCGCTCAACCAGCACACGCCCACCAACGGACAGTACCTGAGTCACAAGAGAGAAGGGTGAGTCCAGTGGTGTTGTACATGGACTGCATACTGTATACTTAGCTAGACCTTTCGCCTGCTCTATTTTAATGAGATTGAACTAAATGCATGTTTACCTGTGCGTGCCGATTGAGATGTGAAAAAGTTGGTTTGGCCTTACTGAACTGGCTCGAACTGTTTCTGTTGCGTTTGAGCTGCCATTTAACCATGTACATTTCATTTGAGACACGGACGCCAGTTGCATTTAAGAGCGCAAGGAGAAGCCATGCTCACACTAGACATGTAGAAATGTGTGTTTGGACGCATAGACTACTCACTCATTTTGTTTGCCACGAAAACACTATCCCTCTTGTTACGTTTGACAAAAGCAGGAAATATGGTGGATTCACTTGCGCTGAAAAAATGTAGTGACTTGTGCTGCTGTAGTGCTGAATGTGTATACTAAGAATTTTAGTGCTAAATAATGCAAATATAATCAAACAATTTGTTGTGTGATTATATTTGCCAAGAGAAAGTAATGTAAATGTAAGGTAGTAAGGCATAGTCTTGAGGAACTTCTGAAAGCTTTTCCGTGGGACACAAATTGGTCTGCCCGGTTTGAAATACACTATAACTCACCATAGATTTTAGTCTTTTTTGCAGACTCTGTATTATTGTAAACACACTCATTGTGTTGGACATATTTATCCAGTAGCTTCCTTTTGTCGTGCCCCATGGATATCAAAATCAATGTGGAAGGTTCCAGGGTAATAATGGATATAAAGACAAAATGGTTGCCGAGCCTTTATCCAAGACATTTCTCTTAATGTAACCAATTATGCATGGTCTATTTTATCATACTCCCACCTCACATACCACAGCGTGAAAACAATAAAGCCCTAACCGCGGCGTAATAAATGCTCAACGTAATTCTGAACGCTCTTTGAATGAGTCCATGAGCCGATGAAGACTAAATGTCAACATCTTTTCACAACAACATTAGTGATTCGATGTGAAACAGCCTTCGGTGTCTTCTGTATCTACAGCAAACAGCAGCCTGTGAGCCACCTAATCCTAGTTAAAATAGCCCTTTCTCACCGGAGCAAGTTTGACTGACATATCCCCCATAGAGTTCGCACACAGATTAGTTTTATAGTTTCTAAGTATTATTCCCATTAAGGTCAACACTGTTTCTGGCTGCAGATGGGAATTTAAACAGAACACCTGGAAGGATATCAGGGATTTTCACTGAAACGGGATCAACGCACGGTTAATAAGACAAGATATCGATCTGCTTTGCTATTGTCTCAATTTGGAAATGGCAGTTGTAATCCAAGCCACATTTGCTTGAGCTTATTTCTGGAATGAAGAAGAGACAAAGCAAATTCTTGAAGGATATCTTGCATGTTGAAAGAGAACGAGTTGGCCTTTAGAATCAGTGTGTCGGTATTAACAAGACCAACACGTTCTTACAGTAAATGCCAAAAACAAACAGACTGAGGGCGTATGATACTCTGTAAAGCAGGGTGAATCATGTGTGAAAAGCCATTTGATTGTCTCCTCAAGCTGTTTCTGTGACTTGGAGGAATGAATTTATTTGGCATCTTACACGTTTGCTTGTTTTCTTGCACTAAAGGCTGATCTTTTGAACTGTTGGTGTGGAGCCTCAAGGCACTGTGAGCTCAGATTCTAACATCTGACTTGTGTTTTAGCGATCAAAACCTCGACATCATATTCAAAAGTGTTGTCAGCGGAAACATGTTTAGCATACCAAACCCACAAACTTGCGGAGGTGAGGTGGTGTAGCTCGAGGGCCGGACATGCAGTCTCAGAAGTTGGGGATGTGAGTAATAAAATACGGTTTTTATTAAAATGAAAAAGAATTGGGGAAGTTATTTTGTGTGTTTTGTCATGGAATGTGTCATGGGTCATTGTGGTTATATTATGTATTTTCACTCATTATTCAGATGCCTTCACTTAAACTGGCAAGAGCTCTGGTGTGTGCCATCTTCTCTGTCTGGTGTGCACCAGAACCACATTTTCCAATGTGGTTTTACTGCAAATGGCAAATACTTCAATTCTTGAATCTTGAACTAACCACTCCCTGTGTGGTTTCCCTTGTGATGCTTGATGCACCGTTATTGTTGTTGTACATCTGATCTGATCTCTCCAAGGTGTGAGAATATTTTGAATTGATGGGCAATTGTACCCTAATCTAAAGAGGGGGTGTTTTATGTAATACTTAATTATTTCAAGACTAGAAGCCCTGCACTTTCATGATGGAGTTACTGTTATTTACAATATATATATATATACAACAATTTGAATATGTCAGCATATTCCAACAACTCATGCACAGTGTAACCCAGATTAGGATTAAGACTGATAATGACTGATAGTTTTGTTTGATTGCATGAATAGTTTTGGTGTCGTAATACCAACTCGTACTCAAAAAAATTGGCTTTTGCCTGACAGACTCTCCCTGTGCTTTTGAGCCAGTGTCTGCTTGAACGTCTACTGTTCTTTTTCCGAGTGTTCAGTCTAAATCACAGGGGAGTGATCCTGACTTGTTCACTTCATCACACTCTGTCGCCAGCCGGTGGAAAGGTGAGCATTAATGGTTAGACGAGGCAAAGAACGGTCTCAACTGAGGACTGCAGACAGAACGAGCTGGCAGGCCTGTTCCTGCACTGGCTGTCAGAGATTAAAGAAGATGTCAACACCAGTTTAACACAAGCTTAAGTGAAGAAGGCACACTCTGACTGAATATTCTGCGTGTATCTTAGATCTGTCAAAAAAAAAGGGAGCAGGTGATTCTCATGCACCCATCTGGATTATACCCAGTCCGTGCAATGTTTTGCTCTGTGGCATTGAGAAGTAAAAAAAGAACATAGCAAAGACGGATATTCAAATGGCATGCTTAAATGTCCAGTGTTTTTATTAAAGTTTAAGATTCTACGTGTTTTAAGAGTCTGAGTAATGTTGACAGTTGATTTTTTTTTTCATAGGAGAAGATAGTGTATGGGCAATCTAACGGTTATCTCGCCTGATTTTAGTGGGCCAAGTGGGCTCCCTATAGTAGCGCCCTAACTCCCTCTCTAATCATCTGCAGAGGGGACTCCTAGTGAGCCAGTGATGGTGTGTTGCTGTTTTTTTTGACAAACTTTGTTCTTTCTGCCCTTTGAGTTTTGGGTTGAATAATTATCATGAAACCAATTAACTGTTGTGGTGTTAATTTCAGGACACTTTACTATCAAGAGCATTATTTCTTCTTGTTTGATGATGCAGACTTACACTAATTCTAATTATCTCTATGGGAAGAAACATGAAACACAAGTGTGACTATTCAAAGCAAGGGCTCAGAAAAAATGGCTCCTATAATCCTGGGATTTGAATAATCAGGTTGGAGATAATGGGCTGGGCCGGCCCGGGCGTAAATAGAGAGCATCCACTCATCCTCCCAGCGCTGAACTAAATGAACTTTTAATTGATGCGGTTTTGCTAGTCCTTTTGTCATGCAACAGAAACAAGGCCCAGTGCTGATAGGCACATTTTCCCGACCGGTTTCAGATTGGTTTACAGCAGGGCCTAAGTACCATGTAGTTAGTTTCATGTGTCATATAAAATCTGGCCAGGCACAGCGACGCCTGCAACTAAAACCTTAAGTGCATCCACAGGAATCACTCACCGGCTTTGCACTTCCGTCTTAAGGAAGAGGGGGAGAAATTCAATCACTGCCGGATTGACACAGCCACGGAAGACAAGGCATGCGTTTAGGTGCTTTTAGTTGTCTCATTTCACATTTGGCCCGGCAATTGTTTTTGTTTGTGCCACATTTATATACACGTATAGCGGCCACTCCACAGCACCGCTCCATCTAATGAACTCATCTTTACTCACTGATTTGCTTACTTAAATAAAATGTCCTTGATCTGTGCCTGACATGAATTCCCTTTCCAGCGCCGTATCAGCTTTTGTTGGGGGGGAGCATCCTCACCAGGCACTTGGCCCACTTTACTTCCCAACAACCATCAGTAACCGCAGCTCAGGGACCGCAATACACCAATCTGTTAAGGAGACAAATAATCAGATTTAGCACAGCTCTCCCATCCCTCTTGCCTTTCATTCATCTCACAATGGGGAAAAAACAAGATAATAAAATCATTTATGGTAAATCATTCACCCATATGAGAAGAGGTGGTTGGTCGGCTGAATATAGATACGTTTTTTACCAATGTTTTAAATATATATATTCATGTGAAGACAACATGTATGGACCAGACTAATTAGCAATGTCTTCAAGGCTTCAAGGTCCCTCAAGTCATTGATGGTCACACAACTGGCCTCTTTTTAAATATAGCTTCAGTCCAAGTTTAACACCAGCCTCGTCTCAGTTCAGTTTGAGCATTCAAGCTACTTCTATTACTTTTTACACATGATTAGCTGCTTGAAGTCTAGAAAATGAATGTATTTTGAATCCCATTTTTGACAAATAGATGTGTTGAGATTTGTGGGTAATCGTGCCTAATGTAATATAGTCAGATTGACTTCTGGGGGGACCCTGACCCAGCATTGTGGACATCAATCGTCCCATTTTCTGTGATGGATTGAGCCCATCAGCGCGCCACACCGTACATCATGACTTGTTTATGGCCCAGAGCATCTCATCAAAAGAAGTCGAGTAGAAAACAACTGGCGCGCAGCTGTGGAAGGCTCTTCCTGACGTGTGTCTACACATAAACACTGTGCAACACCTGGATGATGCCGGTGCTGGGGCCGCTTCTCCAGGCACTTTACTGTTCCTTGGTATCCAGGAGGAAGCTGATGATACGCTTTTCCTCATTTCTGCTACAAGATCATTTGACTTCTCTCCCGCTGGGCTGCTGACAATAGTCAAATGTAATGCAGTGCAGAAAATATTTTTTAGCTTTTTCTTTGCACATTTTTGCTCTACTTTTTATAGAGCGAAAATATTGTGTAATTCCAATATTTATTTGATTGTTGTACTGCATTAATGTTCACTTTTATCAACTCGAAAAGCCTTTACTAAAAGGCTCTCTTGCCTCCATTGTGCTTTGTGCTCACTGATTCCTGTCACACTCCACATTTCATTATCTTATTAAAACAGAATTAACCAACAAGGAAGCTCGCAAGAATTCAAACAAGATCTTTTTAAATTAAAAACCAGCCTTACCTTCACTTCGTCTGAACATTTCCCTCTTAAAAACCTCATTATAATAGGGCTTGCGCCATCTATTTATTAGCTGTATCAAAACAGAGCTCCTAATATGAATGTTTAATTCATAATTGAATTTTAAAAAACTAGTCTTTTCAGAGAAGGGGGGCTGCTAAATGCATTCATAAATGCTTGACTGCCTCCTAATTGCAACGCAATGATTACATGTTATGAAGAATGTGAACTCTTAAACAAGTAATTATAACATAAGAAAATAGCAGATGGCTTTTAAAATTTCTGCCTTGAGGTGCAGCTTTGTAAACACTAATACAAATGAGATTTTATCAAGGAATCATTGTTTTTAATCCGGCAAAACCTGGATCAGAATAATCACTATGTCATGTTTCTATTCAGCAATAACATAATGTAAATGTGTTTTTGTTATTGGAAAACATGAGAACGCCTTGCTTTTCATAATACTATTATCATTCATGGGCTTTAACTGTTCCAAGCTATTCCCACGCTGCAATTAGTCCCACTGCTGTTTGTGGTGCAATGAATCTCCCATTCGTCCTGTTGTCTTCGAGAGCGGGCAACTCTTTTGGAAAAGCAGAAGCCACCACAAGCACAGGTGGCAGCGATGTAGGCCAGTCCCCTAGGCTCTTGTAGCTCAAAGTTGTGCGTCTTGTATGTTGTCTGTGTCCATATGGCAGCCTGTCTTGCTCTCTTTGCTGTCGCCGTGGTTAGCCATAGCTGTGCACCTCTTACCATATGGAAGCTGTTGTAAAGTTTGTTTTTCAAGGGGAGGCTCTCGCTATTTAGAGACTGCTTGTACACAGACATACGCTCCCCATAGATTCTCACAGTTGTCGTCTGCCCCTTGGTGACATGAATTGGTCAGTAGATAAATTGATTCCAGACGGTGGGTGTTTAGAGTTTGTGAACAGTGTGGAAACGAGAGGGGGATGTTGTGGTACACACATCTCCAGGTGGGATTTGGGATAGGTTGTGGTAAATAGCAGCTTGAGGGAGCCCCCTAGCTGTCTTGATCAAAGGGAAGTGCACTATTCCACGCTGCTACTAAATAATTACGTATTGATTTGGACTCACTGTCTCAACATGAGAGCGTCTTGCAGATGCATGGTCAAAGATCAAGGTTAGATCCCAGTGCAGACTAAGCATGTGTCATGACTGAAGCCCTGTCGTATGAGTTGACATATCACGCAACATGTCTTATTGATATTTTATTCTGTCGTTGCTTTTGTGTCTTACAGGTCCATTCTAGAAGAGCCTTCATCACACTGTCACCCTCTCTATGGTCATGGCGTCTGCAAGTGGCCGGGCTGCGAGGCGGTCTTTGATGATTTCCATTCATTCCTAAAGTAAGTCACGTTCAGACTGCACAACAAGCATGTTTCAATTGCTCTGATCAATTATTTATGATTAGAGCTTGATAAAATTTTAGAGTTTTGGTTCCAAATAGCATTGCTGTTCCAATTACTTTGCATTTCTAAACGCAATAGGAAATGTATCAGAGCTGGGATTTTATTCAGTCTCTGTCCGCTTTGAGTTGATTTTTTGGTTCAATCGGCAGTTTTTAATATAAATTTTGTCTCTTCATATGTTATATGTTATATTCTTCTGGGCTGAGTGGATAGCACTCTCGCCTCTTAGCAAGAAGGTCCTGTGTTTGAATCCCAGTCGGAACAGGGTGGCACGGTGGCTGAGTGGATAGCACTCTCGCCTCTCAGCAAGAAGTTCCTGGGTTCAAATCCCGGTCGGACCAGGGCCTTTCTGAGTGGAGTTTGCATGTTCTCCCCGTGTCTGCGTAGGTTTCCTCCGGGTACTCCGGTTTCCCCTACCACTAAAAATATGTCCAATAGTTCTGGCATGCGCCTCCTGTACTGGCGACCCCGCTCCCATCTCTGTGTGGAGTGAGAGACAAATGCCCATAATTAACAATTGTAAACCGCTTTGAGACTCAGATCTGCAGTGAAAAGGCGGTATATAAATAAAAACTTACTAACTTACTTACTTACTCTCTTCAGTCATCACCGTGTGTGGAATGATTGGAACAATATCTGAACTCTGAACATTGTAAAGCGCTTTGGGTGACCTTGGTCTGTAAAATGCGCTATATAAATAAACATTACTTACTTAAAACAAAATGCATTATTATTTATAAAAGAAAAAATAACTAAGCCAGCTTTTTAAGCATCCCCACCTATGACCCAATGAGTAGGCTCCCATATAAACTGTTTCAAAGTCATTCTCAGGGATAGTGTCCTTGTGTCGGGTGGATTACACGTTTGCAAACCCCAGACGACACACACAGCCACTACAGGTGCTGTGGACGCTTGTTATTGTGGAGTGTGCCTGAGGTTGGCCCTGTCTTAACAAGGGTACTGTGGCGGGGTCTCCTTCTGGGAACGGCATGGGCCTCTAATTCCTGTGATAAGTGCAGTTCCCATGGTGACGGGGGGCCATTTTTCCCAAACAAACAACGGTGGGATGTTTATCTGTGGCAGCCCACACTTAGGGCTCTCGGCGTGTTTGCCCTTGTCACTGGACGCTGGGCAGTTGGATGTCTGTGTGTTTCCCCGTGGAGCTTTTGTCTTTCTCTTTGCCTTCTCATGCCTCACTTGACGGATGCAAAGTCTGGAGTTGACTTTAATGACTCCACTCACTTTCAAACTCCGCTGTAGGATGCATAGATTATAGCATCATGTACATTATCCCTCCCTCCGACACTTGGAAATGGAATAATGCTATCCATACCTACAGCTTTCACAGTGTTAATTGACCAATCCTGTCTAAGTCATTAACCCTGTCACAATTGCTAATAGAGACTCATTTTCATTAGCACAAATGCCACTTGCAAAAGCTCATTAGATTCTCCTCGCTTCCCTGACATCAGTCTTATTGCTTATTGTCAAAATCAGCTTTACGCATGATTACAACTTATTGATTTTATTTCTGTATTACTTGATTTTTTGTTACACCATTTTGTATTTAGTCGAAAAATAACACAAACATACTACACTAGTTTGTTATCTAGTTAAAAGTGCTTATTTTTTCTCCCTACTGGGGATAAATTGATAAATCTATCCATCTATCTATCTACTGTGTCTATCTATCCAAACCCACACATACACAGAGGCAAGGCATGGCAAGGTAAGTGTATTAGTACAGCACAATTCATGACAAGGCAACCCAAAGTGCTGAAAAAAACAAGATAGAGACAGTCACACACGGCATTAAAATCATAAATAATCTCGGTACATTAAAAAGAGTTGAATTTGAGCCTGTCTCACATGATTGTACAAGACCAGGACAGAAAAGATCATCAGATAAAACACTAAAACTCACACACAGTTGCTTTGTTAGCTGGAATCAGGTACTGTTGTATGACTATTTCCCTTTCATCCCAATGAAAGAACGTTCCCGAGTAGGATTGTTGTTATCTCTTTGGTGACGTACCACCTCCAGAACGTTACACAGTGTTGATTTGAATGTTATTCCAGAAATGTTTGGATTCTTTGTCTGGGATGTAATCTTCTCTGTTCAGGTTCTGTATTTTTCTCGATGACTTTTGTGTTTGAGTCGGGGGCCTCGTTTACTAAAGCAACCGTGTCTGTGTGTGTCTGTGTGTGTGTGTGTGTGTGGAGGGGCTGCAACACATAACAGCGCCATGGTTACGGAGAGGATGGAAACATGTGTGTTATGGCCCCAGATCAATGGCTCACTGTCACCCTGGATTAGGCGCACTTTAAACAAGATATGACACTATTCCATTATCCTAAAACAAGCACTTTGCCCAGCACACATTTTTCCATCGACACAGGACAGGCCATCTCAGGCTCAGCTGTTATTTTATGCATATATGTCACGTAAATGTAGAGGCTTTGTTTCATTACCGTGATGGGCCATTGTGTACCGGAGAGTAATGTGTGATCAAAATGCATGAAAATCTTTATACCTCAAGTCTGTTAATTGCTGCAGTAGTTTGAAACTTTTTGGCTCAATTACAGCCGTCACTAAATATTGATTTTCATTTGAATTCTATTGAAGATGAATGGTTTTTTACTTACAGGGAAAAGTCAAGGGTTTTTAATATGTAGTGACTTTTTATGGGTGATGCGGTGGTTAGCGCTTGTGCCTCAGGTGGAGTTTGCATATTCTCCCTGTGTCTGTTCCGGTTTCCATCGGGTGCTCCGGTTTCTCCAACCACTAAAACATGTACAATTGGTCTGGCATGCACCTTCTGTGTATTGGTGACCCCGCTCCCATCTCTGTGTGGAGTGAGAGGATAATTGTAGAGCGCTTTGTGACTCTGGTCTTTAAAAGGCACTATATAAATAAATATGACTTACTACTTATGAGTAAACTCTTAAAAGTGTTAGGGTTAGGGTTAGCATATGACATATGGTGTAAACAAGTTATCAAAAAGTAAAAAATACATAAAGATATCACGGCATGTATTAAAAATTGTAACACATAGACATTTAACAGTGACCAGAGGCATGATATTATATGGTTGTTTTTATTCAACAACAATATATTTAAGAAGACTGGTTGTAGTCACCACCACTTGGTATGACTACGACCAGTAAGATTTGTTGGAAGAGAACAAGTAAACTAAAGGTGAGGGGCTTTTAGGATTTGAATTCATTTCGACCAATCAGATAACTGCAGAGGTGAGCATGGGCGGTTCACACCGACATTCACATTCACATTCACTTTGAGACACATTTGGAGCCTGTCCCAATTTGAGAGATGTAGGTAAAATAATCTTTCATATGAAGTCAACTATTAGTAGTTTTTATGGACATTGGCTGCTCTGGATTGTGAAATATCAGTGTTGGCTATGGAAAAACAATCAATTGATCTCTCCCGATCCAAGGTGAAGTTGAAGTTTGTGGTGTATGATACTAATACTGTTCGGTTTTAGGTGCATTGAAAACACAGTTGTCATTGTTATATGGCTTGTGTACTCAAGCTCATCCATGACTTACCTCTTTATATAGGCCTAGTTTATCTGTGAGATTGCCACGTCAAATCCATCAATGTTTATTCTATTCTGACATTGCCTCGCCCTTTGTTTATAGTAGAGAGGGGAATTAAATTCTGCACAGCCGGTATAGCTCGACCTTAAAAAAAGCGCCTACGTGCACTCTGCTATGTTTTTACAAGTGTTTTTATCATGGCAACATCTTGTTTACTTTAGTTGCCTGCTCAAACTGCTTGGAACATGTTAAGAAAACATTTGGGGAGAGTCTCCACAAAGCTGCCTTTGTTTAACAGCAGGCAAGAGTGCAAGCAGCTCACCAAGGTGTTAACTCTCAAAGCCTTAAGCACTTCCACATGAATCCCAGCAACCGATACTGCAGCCTTGGCCAAAGAAGCAAAAATAAAAACAAAGGAGACATCAGGCTTTTACAAAAGACATTTTCTAAAGCGTACTGTAAGGACACTCAGCAGAACAGCGTGTACTCTGAGAAAGGTGAGAAGGACTCCAGCAGATTTAAGATGATCCGCCAACAGCTGCACGTCTCCAAATGTTGTTTCAAACAGACCTGTATTTATTTGATTCTTCAACAAAAACCTGAACAACACACAGATCTTGGTAAATACGGTACGGCTGTCCTGGGTTTTTGTGGGAGTCTTGGTTGCGTGTAAATAGACGGGTGACATTTATTAACAATTATAGACATCGGTCATCCCGCACCCTATGAACAATGGCTCCTGGTTTCTAATAGCTGTGTTTTAACTGCTTGATTCTCGGATCTGTTGTTGACGAATCAACAACTTTGCAAAGGTCTCCGGCGACTGCTGTTGTGATTCGGTGCTATACAAACATATATTAAACTGAATTGAATATAATTGACCTCATAGTGTCCTCTAAGGTCTTCCGGAGGCCCCTCAGCTGCTCCCTACAGTGATGTCACACACCACAGATGACTCCTATGCTTACTGCGCATATTGGAAACTTTGATAAGACTGACTCATCATTAGTCATGGAACATTTCATATAAACAAAAGGGCACGCATTTTGGATATTAATTCTGTCTTGAAAGCACTTTATTTTTTATACAAACAGAAAATGCAGTATTGGACTATCTGTTCCCGTTTCTATTCATAGCAAAATCATGATTGTAGCTGGACTGGACTGGCTTTTAACGTTAAAATGGCTAAAAGACCAGTTTGTATAACAGTAATGGTGAGCTAGAATTCTATGATCTGTTTTTTGAACCTGTTTTTAGTTTGACAATGTAAAGAACATTCAAAAAGCTATATCTGAGCAAGGACCAAAGACTAAGCTGGCCTTGGGGTCCAGGAAATGAGGATCTTAAATATAAAGTGTATGGCGTAACAAATGAGACCATGTTTCTATAGTCATGTATAAAATACCATCCATTCATCCATTTTCTTCCCCTTGATCCATTTCTGGGTTGGGGGGTGGGGAGTCAGAGCTGCACCCAGTACACATAGCACCAGTATATAAAATACATTTGGGCATAATTTCAAGTGAAGGTCAGTTTTTTTGAATTGTGAAGATGGAGAGACATTTTTCGAACGCAAGCACCAGTTAGACCTGCCCCCACAGTTTCATGATAAGATGCAATGAATTCAAATCCTCGATAGACAGCTGACAGCCCTCACCATTGGTCCAACTATTCTCCTCATACCAATCTTACTGACAAAGATTTTGCCAAGCAGAGGACCTGTTGTAAATATGTTTAGGGACAGTGATGATCTGAGACATCTCAGGACATATGAACATTGGTATCCGTCCTATGGACCAATGGCTCCTCTGTGTTTGTTATTATTGCATTTTGAAAAAATGCTTAATTCAGATAATTCTTCCGGATCATATGTTAAAAAATATGAAATACAATTGAAGTTGCAGACATCACCTTTAACGCTTTGGGATAAAAACTGTTTGGCTGTCCACCTTACCTCACTTTTACATCTAAAATATGTATATTGTACACCAATGACTTTGTGAGAGATAATAGATTTAGATTGATTTTAAAATGTAAATACACAGTTTTTATAATGTAGAAAAAGAAAATGGATTTGTTTCGTGTATTGAAAAATCCAGTCATCAATTCCGGCCCACTTTAATTGATCGATATAATAATAGTAACAATAAAAGCACTTTTATAAATGTTTAAGAAAGAAGTCTCTTTCTTACTTGAAGACGCTACTTGAAGACGTTGCCCGGATCATGCTATTCTATAATTATGACCTGAGAAAGAGTGCTCAGCTGATATTGATGTAAAAAGCCTGCTGTTGGGCTTGGACTTGTTTTATTGTGGCCATTTGCATTAGAGACTGTCATTCTGCCAGCGCGCTCTTAAAAGCGGCTTCATTTGAAGTCCAGAAAGCGACACATGCCAGTGCTCATAGTGCATGCCGATGTCAACCACCCGTCCCCCCTGCTCCGTGTCCAGACGCCCCTCTCAAGGCTGCATTAGGCCCATTTGAATATTTCATTTCCTATTAATTATGCACTGTGACTCTCCATGTCATTAGGAGAAATAAAGTGGAGTATAACAAAGGATGAAAAGGAGCTTGCGTCTCCTATGAACAAATTCCAAAGCTGCTCACGTAGACCGCTCTTCATTGAACACTCTGCCCGTGCCGGTTAAATTGAAGTTGAAACGTCTTTACCTATTATTTTCCTCTTTGAAATGTAGTAAGATGTCCTGAAATGTTTACCAGATTCTCTTTCCTGCCGGCTTAATTAAATGTATTTGATTAAATAGAACGCACTGGAAATTGAATTCGGAGCCACGGCGCTATTGTCCAGGCTGCCTTTAAATATGCCATTTTAATTTCTTTTCAGCCACAATAATTAACTTGAAGTGCTCCAAGTCCGTCACCTCATGAATGTATTTTCTAGCACAGATGGAAGCAGACAGAGACAGAACATTGATATCACCTTTTCTAAATGTGTTTCTATACATACAGTACAGGAGAATGGACAAGCAAAAATGTCGACTAAATGTTATCATACTGCACTCATTTATTAACTCATTTTGTTTATTTATCTACTGCTGAAAGAGCATTGTTTATTTGATCATATTCTGTAAACAAGGGAACATGTAATGACCATGGCTGTAAAAGTTGGCGACCTTAATTGTTTGCGTTTTTATTTACAATATTCTAGTTTTGTCTGGGCATAAAACACGGCCGTCTAATTTACTGCTCTGTCCCAATATTGGTGTGCCTGGCTGAGTTTGATTTGCAACAGAAAAAGTGCATTTTCGAGACACTCAGCCGTGTGCATAGACATTCCTGTGACAGTGACCTACATGGTCACCCAAGATGTGATATAATTTATGATATATATAATATATTGGATCCATTAGCGAGCATAATGAAGTAGTGAAATGAAAGGGTATTTGTGAAATCAGTTCAAACATCCTGCTCGGATTATGATTAAATGATTAATGAAATGCCCCTGCATAAGCATTTTCAAACAGTAATTCATGCGGCTACTGATAAAATTCCTCCATCATATTTCCTTCAGTCGTGAACCTTATCTCCACCATTTTATATAAATCACACAAAAACCCTGTCTGCAGCACCACGAGCTACTTATTTAGATTAGTCTAAACGCACAGGAAAAGAGGAGAACATCTTGGCTGTGTAAAATAATCACATATAATTATATCCATAATTCAAGTAAGTGACAGATCCCATCTCTTCGTCCTGTTGTCCTCGACTTCTGCTCCAGCTTTATTCACTTTCTCATGATTTTAATGGCGCAATTAGCTGAAAAACACAGAAATAGGACACATGTAATGAGACGTGTGTGCATACGGCCATGGCTGTATTATTTGGCTTTTGTTAAGGTTTCAGATGGAGTTGAATTTTACATAATTAAAACCAATTATAAAGTGTAAAAAAGTCCTTTTGCCACAAAATACAACAACTACAAAGAAAGCCTTTTGAAAATCTGTTATTAAGAATCAAACATCTTTATATGTGCTTTTCTTCATGCTCCAAAAGTGATTCATTTGAACTAACATAAGTTACAACTTAGTTATAGGAAATAGTTTTATAGTCAACCTCCTTAGCTCCGTTCTAGCATTTAAGAATATTGTTAAATCTTTTTCTTTGGCCTAAACTTAAAATATGAACCAGTCTTTACACATTCTTGTTATTTTTACAAAGCGATTGTTCGAGCATTGTGTTTTGAACCTTACTCTCAAATGTTATCACGTCTTTCTCATGCTTTCGCTTGATTCAATTACCGGACTGCGTCATTAGCAAAACATTGGAAGTCTTTGTTAGTTTACCCTAAAGGTTGCAGCGCTCTGGAGCCATATTGACACCAGCTTTTTCTTTTGTATATTTTCTTTTGCAGGCATCTCAACAATGAGCACGCCCTGGACGACCGGAGCACCGCCCAGTGTCGGGTCCAAATGCAGGTCGTGCAACAGCTGGAGCTCCAGGTATTGTCTCAGTTCTTGTTTTGTCCAAAATATTTATCCCTTTATCCAATGTCCATCGCCCCCGCCCGCCTGCTCTCACCCCAACCCCAGCCACAGCAGCCTTCGCAGGAGGCCGGCCCATGGAAATAATTTTGTTCGTTTGCAAGTAACCCGTCATTAAAAATGTGTTATGTATGCATGACAGCAAGGACAAGATATATGAAGGGCCCCGGGCTAAGTAGAGGAGATAATTACATTTTGTATTTTACTGGGTTTTAAAGTTATTTATGAGCTTGAACTGTTTGGCAGCGACAATAAAACACTGAGTGAAGTGAGCTGGCAAGAGAGTAGCGGCCAGTGGGGAGGAGGTTATATGGGGGGAAAGGGCTTTTGTAGAAGAACAATGTTGATACTTTTGAATGTAGGGATTTTATTAGTAACGTGAATTTTAAAACTGGGGTACAAAACTTTTAAAATCTCAAAATAATCCATGTGACTGGAGTTCCTGTCTTGCTAAAAACAGTCCGGTTCTAGCACCAGTTTTCTCATGCACGAATATTTGGCCTCAGTCACATCTTTACATCAGATCTTTCAGACAGAAATGTGAAAAAGAGAGGACCACCCTAAATCAGCGCGCAGACCAAATAGTGACTCACACAGGGCTTTTTCTTACACATACGCAAAGTTAAAATATAGTAGTTTATTTAACATAGATCATCGAAGAACACAGAAGACCACAGTATGTTTTGACCTGATTTGTTCACAATACTCTTTCTGTTGGGACAAAGTATATCATTAATTAAATAAATGAGTTAGGTTCCCTGGCTTTAATGCAGGCTTTTTGTAAGTAGCATGTACTTTAGGTAAAATATCGGTTTTAGTAAGCAAGTATTTATTTCCAATTTATATTTTTCATACAACAAAACAGACAAGATACAGGCATTCAACTGGGAATATATAGTTGGAAAAGGGGTTGGAGTGAAGCAGATTCTTATTGGGCTCCAACCCCGATATTTTATCTTAGATAAAATGAGGGGCTTAGATCTTCAGGTGCTTTTAGTTAAAAAGTCTGTATGCTAGGGCCGCACAAAAAAAACCTTCCCTTGATTTAATGAGATCCAGCTACTGTCATATGGAGTAAATGCTGTATAACACGCACCATACCTCCTGCACCTGTAGTTTACATCTCGGGCCACTCAAAGCCATTACGTGTAGAAAAAAACATAACAAAAGTATGTGCACGTATATGTGAAGGCAAACACAAAACAGTTGTGTGATGACCTCAAACAAGAAGAGTTCACATGCATTTGCACAGCGCCGCTTGTTCCCACTCGGCTGTGTTATCCAGAGGGACGCGCAGAGGAATTATCAGGCACACTCTTCCTCCAAGTCGGAGCTTCTCATCATAATTCAAGATGGCAGTTAAAACAGTGCTGAGTTGGGGCAGGTAGCGAGCCTTGGCCTTGTAGCTGCAATTGAGAGCGAGGACATTTTAACCTTGAGTTGAAGCAAAGAGTCGTTGACAGCCGCAGATTCAGAGGAGAAGTTGATTAGACCAGAGCGAAATGATATACAGTAAATATATGTAAGTGTTTGTTCCTGTAAAATGCAAACAAAAAAACTAGGCGCGTTATAAGGCAGATAGGGATGTGGTAAAAACAACATGGCAATCAGATGTGGTTTTTAATGAGCCATGGCTTTGCTGTCAATGTAATGGGTCTGTACATACTGCACGATAAATCACAATCGAATCGAAAATGAGCAATTTTAGAAGATGCAATTAGGAAATCGCACCAAAAAACTGCGACAAATAATAATCTAAAATTGTTTATATTCAGGAAATAATATTGTTATGTAAATAACTACCCAACTTTGAGCATTTTAAGCGTTTCATCATTTCTACACTGTTTTATTATATAATCAAAAAATCTGTTGAATCTGTTGTTAAAGTCTGTTTATTTTTTTTCAAATTTGACTAGTTAAACATAATTGTAAATCAGTATATGAATATATTGTGTGATTGTGATGTTATATGTTTTGAAAGCAAAATTGAATAAAAAAAAAATCTCAGTAACAAGCAAAAACAAAGGTCTTATTTATGCTCGTTCCAACTTTCCAAATCTGCATCACGCCAAAAAACCTAATAATGCTTAAACTACCAAATTCAAGCATTCATTGCTGTTTCATCGCTGTTTTATTATAAGCATAAAATAAGATTGTAATAGCTGTAGCTGTGTAGTTAAAACCTGAGCAACAATCTAATATTTACTTCAAAAACAAATATCATAAATCGCATCGCAGTTAAATTAATCAGAAAAATCACGATGACATGTTTTACCAAAATTGCGACCCCCAGTATTTAGATTAAAATATGGTGCAGTGGCAGTGATAAATAAGCATCCTTTATTTTGTCTTTTGCCAGTGTTTCATCATGTTTGCTCTGTTTTCGAGCAAAATAATATGTTTGTTGTATCTGTAGTTGTGTAGTTAAAACTTCAAAAATCTTGTTTTTTTTTTTCCTCTTTAAAAGCATATATCATACATCGCATCGTTGTTAAATTAATCAGAAAAATCACAATGACATATTTTACCAAAATCGTGAACCCCCAGAACTCATTTAAACGCTAGGTACAGTAGCAATGTTAAACAAGCATCCTTTATTTTGTCTTTTCCCAGCTTTCGAAAGACAAAGAGCGTCTGCAGGCCATGATGACGCACCTCCATGTCAAGTCTACGGAGCCCAAAGCCACGCCACAGCCGGTGAGCCTCATGTGGACCCTCCCCCGCCCCTTTTGTTTGTCTTAATTGGCACACGTGTATTCATTAATGCCTTCCTCTCCTTTCATATTTATCTGCTAAAATAAAACAGCTGCTATTCTCTGGAGGGAGCCACTAAATATTGTTTGGAGCACATCTGCTGACATGTGAGATTCAATTTGGGGGCTGTGATGAACTGAATGCACTTCCGAAAACTGCCTCAGTCTCTGTGAGAAGTGCTGGAACAACAAAGGGGCAAACACAAGTATAATATCCCAGAATTCATGTCAATATCCTTCTTAAAAAGGCGGATTAAAAATGGAGCTTACACACAATATTAAAATTACAAATATTATTACATACGTACTCATATACATGTATAAACTGTTTTGAATTTATTTCTGTATGAACAAATATTATTGTATGTTTTTTGAGAGATTGTTCAAGTTATTTATGATTTTATTATCAAGAGTCGTATAAGACAAAGAAAAAAAATCATTGATCATTGTATCAGTAGTTTTTATTTTATTTGTATTTTTTGTATTTATTTTTTATTTTAAAATAACAAACAAACATGTCCAGATCCAATCACAAAAATCTAACTTAAAAATCGTTTTAAGTCAAGTCAAAGTCATTACTTCAGGTGGCCTATATTGATGCCCCATATGACAAGGGGGCTGTCTTTTAATAGTGTAATATTTTTCCCCCCTATTAAAACAAAAAATATTGAAATGAAATACCATAGACTTTGTTAAGATTGATGCACATTTTTAAGCATGTGTTCATAAGTAACATGTATTCTCCACGGGTGCTGATTGGAGCCTAAAATGACATGGAGACATTGTGTAAAACATAAAAAATAAAAAATAAAACAGTCCTGGCTGCAGATAGCATCTCGACTCGTCCGCCTCTCGCCTCCCGTCTCTCAGGAGAGTGACGGAGAGAAGCCGTGTCGCCGTTAGCGCTCTCCAGGGGCCGCGCCGCACATTTATTCAAATAAATAGCCTCCTGCGATCTTGCCGCCTGGTGTGAGCTGCTGGGTAAACGCTCCTAAATGACAAAGTGAGGGGTTCGGCTCATTCAGGTCAGAGATTCATCTTTGGGTAGAATGCATCATCAAATTATTAAACTATTTAAAAATATCTTTAAAATATAATGTTTTTAATGTTTGAAGTACGCAAATATGTCTTATATAAAGGCTGGTAGCAATCTTTTTGTCATTTCAAGTGAGATATTGCTGCTAAAAAACAAGATATTTTGGCTAATCCCCTTTGCTAATATAGTTTCAGCCCAACAATATTCACAAAAATCAGGATAAATGTATCTAAATCACGCTTTTCTACAATTCTAACTTTTTGTCCTTTTTCATCAATGTGGTTTCTCTAACACAAGATGTAACAAGGGTTCCAGTGGGATTTCTTCTTTTGGTCTGTGTAATATTCCCCCTGCTATGTGCCCTTGCATAATATTAGCAGATGCATAGGAACCAGCTGTCACAGGGAAGTGCCATGAATGTACTGCTTTACATTTAGACATAATTAAAGGCAAACAAACGGATGGAGAGACTGCTCTGTGTTAAATGAGCAGGATTGTTGCTTTGAGGTGAGTGGGGGCGGATCACAACAAAACACGCTCCACATATTACCACTGTTAGTGCGGGGGAGTCTGCGCAGGGTGTCACCAAGCATTCTTGTCAGAAATCTGACCTTTACGCCATACATAATTAAGGATGGACTTTTGTTTATTTTCTTTAGCAGCTTGCAGAGTCAAAGCCAGTATAATTAGATCACCAATTACCATTTAATTAATTTCAGTCTGAAGTCTCATTTCGTCGGCACTGGAGTGAGCCCAAATGGTGAGGCGAACAAAGGCGAGGCTATTACCAGGCTGTCTGTCCTATTGTTGAAGGCTTGCTCTGTTTATGGCCAGGGAATATGGATGAAACATAAAACAAAGACTGCTAATCCGCAGCAAGTAAAGTCAACGCCACAGCGCTGGTCTATTGATAGGAATGTGTCAGAGGAACACAAACCCCACAGGATTTATTTGGATGGAGATTCACCTTCTGCGGATGTAGCCCAGTGTGCGCGTCCAGCAGTAATCCAAATTATTTGGGAAGATCCTGCCAAAAGCCAGTGTTTGGAGTTTCAAAGTTCAATAGACAATGTGGGAAAACATTTGTTCGTCGGAAGTATAAAGCAACACACTAAGGGGTATGTTTATCAGGGTTGTGTGTGTGTGTGTGTGTGTGTGTGTGTGTGTGTGTGTGTGTGTGTGTGTGTGTGTGTGTGTGTAAAAACGATTAGCAACATTAGAGAATCCTCATTTATGATGCCGATAGAAATAAACATAGTAAGTAAGTAGTATTTTATTCATGTCAAACTTGTATTTTTCATCCAGCATGACATAAAACAAACACGATACAGAAGTACAAGTGCTTATCGGACTCCATTCACTCTTCACACACACAGTTTAGCTCCTGGATATATAAATATACGCCTCGATTTGGGATTTATCCCAGCCACCATATCATGTTGCAAAACCAATATACTTGTGTTAAATTAAATCCAATTATGATTATGTTTATTGGAAGCTCCATCGCCATTCAAAATGAAACAAACTCTATGCAACATGAACAGTCGACTGAACTCTTTGCAAAGCTGCCGTCCTGTAGTTTTAACCTGATAAATATTTACAATTAAGGATATGTCAAGTGTGTACTGTCGTCATTGAGAAACATCACATTTGAAATCAGTCTTTTTGATATATAGATATATAAAAAGGAGATTGCTGATTCATCCTATAATGGAACACAGTGTTATGCCCATATGCCCAGGTTCATAGTTCATGTTTTTAAATCAGTTCTCAATGAATAATTAGTGTATTTTATTTGTATTTATGTCACTGCATCAGCACTTGCAAGCTTAATTTTTGTCATTTTCTTTTTCTCTCCACAAAGTCTGGGTTATTTCAAAAGCCGGTCTCTTCAGCAATCAGAACTTTTTTATGAGATTTGTTGTGCTTCTACAGAGAAAATTAAAAAACTACACAGCTATACTATAGTTTTTTTGATTTGACTGTGTATTCGGCTTCCCACTCTTCCTTCCTCCGCACCAAATGAGTTTACCTTGTCGCCAATAACCGTAATCCCTTATTCCCATTCACGCACACACAGTCCTGCCTCTGCTTCCATGTTATTGAATGAAAAAAGCCAGTTCATCTTTAGTGTGGTTGTGATCATAGAGGTCAGTCCGATAGTAGTTAATCATGTGATCACCTCCATAAGCAGCTTCTAATTAGTGTCTCCACAATACAATTTCAGTCTGTAATTAGCCCAGATTGGCCTCTTCCTCCAGGAGCCTTATTAGCAGCAGTGCGCAGCGGTAGGTGAGAATAACACAACCATTTGTCAGGGCGCTTTGAGACACATTCTGTATGTGTTTTACACCACAGCCCTTACTAGACACTGTATACGTAACCTTTTGTCATGTATTTCTTTAATATTGATGTGATATAATGTTTTATAATACCTATTTAAAATCCCACCTATTTTTCTTGGTATGAAGAGGAGTAAAGGAGAATTTGGTCATTTCACTTTTCTTTTTTTTTTCTTTTGATTCTGATTCCTCCCAGAGTTATTGAATTGACTTGTGTATGAACTGTGCTCTACAAATAAACTTCCCTTGCCTTGCATACAGTTTTATTTTCCAATTTAATCTTCCCTAAAGGTTCAATGTTGATCAATTAGTTTTTCCAAAAAGTTAAACGCTGGATGGATGAGATATTAGATTTAGAAATATCCAAAATACTATGCATTCATTTCATGTAGTTAATTTTGAATACAAACATACAAACAAAACACATTTTAATCCCAATAACATGTTAAAAAGAACATTATAAAACAAACACTTATATGGTCCTACCCCTCATTTACAGATTCTATTCTTCCTTCAACCACCATGGGCCAAATGTCTCTGTTGTAAGCTTTTCATAGCTGTTCCATCACATCACTGTCTTATTGACCGATTATTTGTTGGTTCTGGAGTGTAGTTTTGCATTGTTAAAACAAAGTATAACTGAGACAATACTCAAGAAGTCTATTCTATTCACAAAAAATACGTCAAGTTCATCTGAAAATACATTTTACATCAACAAACTTAAGAGGGTGGTGGGAACCGATACATGTTCAACGTCATCCCACTCCCTTTTCAAGTAGCAGTGTTTTACTGTCAGTCTTTTTTTTGTTTTATATAATTTATGTAGATTTAAATTTGTGCATGCCTTTTTGATTTTATTCTGCTTTAACTTGTTTGCACCGAGAGCCAAAGCAATTTCCTAGTTTGTGACTTGGCGCACATGGCAATAAAAGGATTCTGATTCTGAATATAGACTTTTTCCTTGTGTCCTTGTCCTAAAAACTATAGCTAACTAACAAACTTCTATCCGTGTATGTCCTCTGCCGCAGCTCAACCTGGTGTCCAGCATCACACTGTCCAAGTCGGCCCCCGAGGCGTCCCCTCCTCTGAGCCTGCCTCACACCCCCACCACCCCCACGGCCCCCCTCACGCCCCTGTCCCAAACACACTCTGTCATCACGGCCAACAGCCTGCACAGCGTGGGCCACATGCGGCGCCGCTACTCCGACAAATACAACATGCCCATCTCTCCAGGTACCAAGCTCAGCACATTCTTTTGTCAAGGTTTCATCATTTAATATATATCCCTCTTTTATAATTATATGGAATTGTTTTTGTCTCTTGTCCGTATTGCATAATCACCCTGCCGTACATTTCAGCCTTTGATCTTCCCCCATTGTAATCATTATCATAAAATTATTGTCTTATTGTTTTGTAAAGGTCTTCATTGTGAGATCAATAAAGTGTATCTTGTGTTATTATTCAATGTCATTTTGAGATTGATCTTCTCTGTGCAGATCTCAGCCAAAACAAAGAGTTTTACATGAACGCAGAAGTCAGACCACCGTTCACGTATGCCTCACTAATAAGACAGGTAAGATAACTTTAATTAAGATAACAGCGATTTATTTGTGTACTGCCCAAAAACACAAGAGAGATGAGAAAGTCAAACAGTCAATGGTCAAAAACGTTTTCGAATCAAATCAATGTATGTGTGAATAGCTTCAAAATCTTTTGTAATTGGAAAAAGCAAAAAAAAGAACAAAAGTTTATGTAAATCCTTTGTAAAATGTGTGTAATATTTATATACAAATCTTTAATGAAAATGTATAGCCATTTGACCATTGCATTGTATTTTGAATTAAGAAACCAAAAAAACAGTTTCATATCACACCAGTCAGACCAATGATTCTTGGTTCTTAGATGCAGGTGGGTCCAAATGTCCTGATAATCCCCTGTCCTTAGACCCACCTACATCTGCAAGATAATATTTCTAACTATATTTGCAGAAAAAAGCAGATTAATAGTGTCCAAATGAGTGTTAAAAATGCCTAAAGAAAAAAAAAATATCTTTCATAAAAAAACTGTTTTTGATGATTTCTCCCAGAGCCTGTGATTATTACCAAATTCATTTCACACAACAGTAGGGATGAACCTGTTTTAAGATGGCCACTCAATTATCGCCAGGCCTCAGTAATCTGCCATTTTAGGAATTAATCTGAGCCAGCCATAATTGCTGCTCTGTAATCTGCCTGAGAAATGTTTTCCTTGCCCTTCATTTATACCCACACAAGAAAATATATTCAAATCTGCCAGCTAGAATTTGAAAGTGCAAACATTTTGGGGGGAGACCGGAGCCTTTTTTCTCCTTCTTGTTTTGCTCACACACAAACTGGATGCTTGTGAATTATTGATCACTTTGTGAAGGCTGCAAAATTGTAAATGTTTGTTTCTGTCACGTCTCATCACACAGGCGATTTTGGATTCTCCAGAAAAACAGCTAACACTAAATGAAATCTACAACTGGTTCACGAGAATGTTTGCATATTTCAGACGCAACGCTGCAACGTGGAAGGTACTTTTCTTTCTTTTTTATCATTGATTTATTTATTTCAAACATGCACAAGTTATGCAAACAATTATTCACAGAAAGACATCAAAAATAAGACATCATAAAATCATACAATAGCTGTATATTGTTTGAAAAAGGGGATTGGATGACCTTTTAAACAACAACAAAAACCTCTTTAAGTGGCATATCCAGACTGTAGTAAAAATAATAACAACTGAACAATACAGCATCTGTTATGTCCCAAACTATCCCTCCCTTTGTACAAACATTTGAACCACAAATCCTGCAATGTGCATTCTTGTAAAAATAATGTGGAGTCGAATAAGCAGAGAGGCTGTTAGTAGTGGGTGGCATTAGTTTGAAAATGGTGATATTATGCCAGTGACTTTTGGCTGATACTCTCGGCAATGACTTCAGAATTGAAAGTTGTGTTTTCCAGCAGACCACAAACACGGCTGCAGCACAACAACTTACAAAAACAACATGGCTGCACTTCAGAATAGTAAATTATCCGCCTCTGTGGCTTTTCAAAGGCAGGGCCACACAGATGTAGACTTTACTGCTCAAGTTTGATGGATATCAAAACGAGTCTCACTAAAAAGTAATGAAGTCAGACTTACTTAAATCTTTTATGTTAAATGCAAAAGATTAGATTCTCAAGATGGTGCTTTACTGTACATAAGACTGTGGCCCCGTTTCAAGCTCCTCCCAACAATGTAGGTCATTGTTTAAAAAGAGAAATAAAGAAAAGAATTTTACACACGCAAAAAAATAGTCATTAGTCCAACATTGTTGCTCTGGAAACCAGCAAAATATTGATGTGTTGTTTTGGTCATCTGAAACCTGAGGTCCATTTCCTGCCAAAACAACCCTGGATTATTTATTGTTTTCTTTCTGGTTTGATTCAAAGCCTGTCCAAATATTTTTCCTGTGAAGTGAATGTTTTCTTATGCAGAACTGTTTAATGTACTGATAGCACTCCTTTTTCTCTCTCTTTTTCACACCAACTGCAGAATGCAGTCCGGCATAATCTTAGTCTTCACAAGTGTTTTGTTCGAGTAGAAAACGTAAAAGGGGCTGTGTGGACAGTGGACGAAATAGAGTTCCAAAAGAGACGGCCTCAAAAGATCAGTGGGTAGGTGTGCTCTGATGAAGAGGTCACCACTGCTCCAACTCATTGTCTGTGCCACATTATTCAGCGTCTGCTTGCTTTGGCCTCTCCTTCATGCTTTTATGCTGGTGATGCTTCATAACAACATATTGCCTCCCCCTCACCCTGTGTCTGTCTGTCCTGCCACTCACTGTCTGTGCCTGTGCCCGCTGCATTCTCAGAGTGCCATTCGCACCAACCTTTCCCTGCATAAGTGCTTTGTGAGGGTTGAGGATGGGTTTGGGTCCTATTGGACTGTTGATGATACGGAGTTAAAGCACGGGCATCCCATGTGGCGAGGCCGCCCTCGGAAAAACATCACTGACCAGAGCTTTGCACAGTAAGCACCTTGGCCCTCACCCTGCATGCCCCCACCCTCTGTGTGCATATGATGCTTTTTGTGTTTAGCTTTTATCCATCACGCTTCCTCATAAGCATCCTCTTCTCTGCTCTTCACTGTGTTCAAGATAGTTGTGTGGTAATGTCAAGTGATTGAACACTTAGAACTGTAGCCTTATTATCCACTTTACTACACTATAATGTCTTTAGTTCTTATACAAAGTGCATTGATTTCTCTTTATGAAACCTGATCTAAGAGAAGAGGAATGCTTGCGAGCTGAGACATGAGTGTGTGGTTGTAATTTAATTGTTTTGTTTTCAGAAGTCCGGCCTTAGTGAAGAACATTCAGACTAGTTTGGGCTATGGTCCGACTCTTTCTGCTGCCTTCCAGGTAAAATACAATCTAACTTCATTCTGCATTCTCTCACGCCTTGTCTCCTACTCTTTTGTTTTTATGTTCTGCTCTCACAAGAATGATGGCCAGCTAAGAAAGTGCTGACAACCCTCTTCCGTTTCACATTTAATGCTTGGGGCTTCACTTTTCAGGCTTCAATGGCAGAAAACAACATACCTCTATACACTACTGCTTCCATTGGAAGTCCCACCCTCAACTCCCTGGCCAACGCCATCCGTGAGGAGATGAACGGAGCACTGGACCATGGAAACAGCAACGGCAGTGACAGCAGCCCGGGACGCTCGCCCCTGCCAGCTATGTGAGTGCACACTCTGGAGGTGCCATTGCTTTCAAATAGACTTGTAACATTTATTCATAAAGGCTAGAGTCTAAAAACTGCACCAAAACACTTTTTATTTCTTGTTTTCAAATGTCATTTTAACCTAAAATATTCATTTGGCTTTCAAAGCTGACTCATGGGCAGAGCATTCCATAGTTTTTGCCTAATTTTCTTTTTAGGCTATTCAAGTTTCTCTATGACAAAATAAACAAATTAAGTTAAACAAATGTTGGGTGGTGCTCATAGTCATTGATTTCCCTCAAAAAAGCCTCAAAGGATCTAATATTATAGAATGTTCTTTCTTATAGCATGGGTTAGTGAAATGAGCTAATGTGTGTGAGCAGATGAAAAGCACACAGGACAATAAATAAAATGGGGTGGGGTTGACATGTGAGGGGTCAGGGCCAGAGCTGCGGCGGGCCTCAGCACAGAAAGGAAACTCCACCTTTTCAAAGCTTCCACCAGCAGCCCCTGTGTTATTTCATACCCATACGCACCCTGCCGTCTGTCTCCCCCTCACTGCAATCAGCAATGTAATTATTCATAGTATTTACAAAACGTCAGAACACAAGTGATCACGCTCGAGCAGCGGTGTATCAGGCAACACCTTTCAAAGAGGTAAAATAAAACACAAATGCAATAATTAGTCTCGGGGAAATTATCTGAGATCCTCATGTTAGGAAAGTTGCGGTCTGGCTTGGAAACCGCAGCTCCCCGTTCTCTTGTCGTAAAAGGAGTGCGCGCTAAGTTGTTTGAAGCCTAAAATAATACGGCACACGCTTGCATGGCTTCCAGATGTGAGGGGCAGACCACCGATGCACAGTCGCTGCAAGTGGATCGACAAAGGCCTCCACCTCCTCCTCCCTTTCCACAGGGTTAGGGGGGCTGTGCCTGAAAACAAAAAAGGTGCAGTAATGAGCTGTTGGCCAAATGGAGGAGAAGTGCCATCCCTAATCAGAGGGAACATGGCTGTGAGCGTGGCTGTGGAGCAGGAAAGACTCCGACAGGATGGGCGTTCTGCTCTGGCCCAGAGGCAGCCTGCTCTCCCTGTGCCCCGCGAGGCTATCTTTAGGCTCAGCCAATACACACGCAGGCTTTCTGTGTGCTGCCACTAAAGGACTTTAATCTGTGGATTTTCTCCTGCTCTTAAAGAAGTTGGCTCACAATATTGTATGGGAGAGATAACCTACTATTAAATGTGAAATAGTGATAAGGAGGTTGTAATTGAACTTAGGAATGAAAAACCCCAGCACAGACAATTTTAATCTTCGTCTAATATTTAAACACAGCACCAAATGATCAGCCTTTTTTATTTATGACTTCAGTTCAATTACATTACATTTTTGTATAGCCCTAAATCACAATAGCCATTATCTCGGCGGACTTTACAAAACCGTTGAATTCGGCAACACAAGAAATGCAATGATTAGAAACATAGAGCCATTGGTTCATAAGGGACAGATGACCAATGTCAAGTCTCCTGGATCCTCACCACTTAAACCTTGAAACACATTAGAACAGTTTTAACAAATGTGATAAGATGTAAGAATAAGATTTCTATTTAGTTGTTTGTTCCAAAATTCTTGCCTGAGTTCAACATGTGTTTTCCACATGCACAAGAGCTGCTGCTTGACAGAAACCAGGTTTGTAAGCACAGCACTTAAAAACGACCAGACAGGAATCAGGTATCAGGCTAATTATACACTGAAATGTGGAATCAGCATGCAGTTCAATCGCATCATAATAACAATTTCATGTCTGCCCCGCAGCCCCATGCTCCATCCTGAGGCGATGCCACTTGTAGATTTACTTTGATGTGAAAATGATCGAAAAGCTGACTTCACTTTTTCCCTCTTCTTAAATATTGCAGCTCATTAGCATATGAGTGTGTTGGGCTGTAATGGCAGCGCTGGTGTGGAGCCTGTCCCTTGTTGTGCTGCTAAATGAGCCTGGTGCTTTGCTGTGACACTGCAGCAGCGGCCCGCGGGTTAGAGCGCAGCGGCCCCTCCAGCTGCTCATAATGTGCTCTTTTTTCCTTCCTGTCTCTCCCTTTCTCCCTGCGCTTTATTCTTGCTCTGTTTCTGTAATGAGAAATTTGGCAGATCTCATCTCTTTAGTGGCTCTTTTTGAGCTCGCTGAGGTGTAGAGGGGCGCCTCGTGTTTTTGCCTTGTTTACAAGTGACAGCGTTATTATTCTCGTAAGGGTTCTGTTTCTTATCGCTCTGTAGTGCGGTGTGCGCGCCTTCCCTGCCAGCTCTTTTCTCCCCTCTTATTGACACTTGCCTAAAAAAAATGCATTAATTCTGCAGTCAAAAGTATGTACGCTGGTGTCTGGAGCAGTGTTTTCTTGAAGTTGATTAATGATAGAAGCCGATGCGAGGTCGTCCTCCTGAGACCCGCCTCGCAGGTTGTGCATGTTAATGAGCAGGAAGGGGAACACACAGCGCGCCACCAGGAGGCTGACGACTCAACAGTCCATTCTGCAGCCGTCACCGTCGCACGTTGCTAATCTAACTCATTTATCAATTCTAAGTGAATACCCTGTTGTCGCTTGCCACAAAAATAAAAAGCCTGCAGCTTTACGGGGATTGGAAGAGCTCAAAGGAAGCTGAAATTATCATCAGCACCAGTGAGGTCCCAACTCGGAGCCAGACATTTGTTTTTGTTCCCCTGTTTCCTCTTTATAAACAGAAAGGCCCAGGTCTGGAGCTCAGTGCGCAGGCTGCTTCAGGTTATTCATGTTTGCAGTGCGGAGCTGGTAACACTCATTTAAAATATATATCATAGCTTTCAGGAAGATTACGCCAATTTTGTTTACAAGCACATCATTTGAGCATAGTTAAGAGCACCACATATACCTTTTCATTACATTTATTTTATTGGTCATAAAAATATAAACATAACTATAAAACACAGCGCTGGGTAAATTTTAGAGTTTGTGATACAATATGTACTTCCATTCAGGGCACTTTGATTTAAATACAATTTGATACAATGTATTCCAAGATCTTTTATTCTATTCAGTTTTTTTTTTTTAAAGGATTTTGGCCCTGGATCTAATGCTCTGCCCTATTTTGTCAACCTCATGCTTTTGCTTGCTATGTGTGGGCCCTTGATTACTGCAAAAAAGCAATACATACATTAAAAACGAAGAACAAAAATAAATGTATACTTCTAAATAAAAAAAGATAAATATTTAATCTCTTTTTTTTTTTTTTTTGCACATTCTGACTTTGGACACTTCACAAGCATCTCTTCATCTTCACCAATTTCCATTCCTTTTACAGTTATAATATCTTGGTATTTTGTCCCCACAAAAGCTATCCTACCCCTTGCCTTGTCCCCAATCCTAACCTTAAAAACCAAAACCAAATGAACTGTTTCTAACCCTAACATTAGCCTCATCCCATTACTTCTTTGTGATTCTTAATTATTATTATTTTATATAGCGAGTCCTCCTGTGGCTGAAACAAAACTCATCTCTTGATCCATTGCAGGCACCACATCAGCGTTAAGGAGGAACCACTGGACCCCGACGACCACGAAGGCCCGTTGTCCCTAGTAACGACAGCCAACCACAGTCCGGACTTCGACCACCACAGGGACTACGACGACGACCCGGGACACGAAGACATGCTGTAGGCCTCTGTCCCATCCAGAAAAACTTTTTGTGCCATTTAAGAGAGACATTCAACAGCCCCTTACGATGGCTTTTATTAAATTCCTATGTTTTTTTGGGGGTTTTTTTCTACACATGGACGTATTTTGGTACGGGCAGTTTTGGTGGTCAGAAATGCAAAGACGCCCCCTCCTTGCCGCGCAGCCAAAGCCGGACTCCTGCACCGCTGGACTGCAAAGGGGTGCCACGTCTCCCCCACCTTTCTCTTCTCTCTCTCTCTCTCTCTCTCTATTGCTCAAGAGAAAATTGAGTGACATTTAATTTACACCAAGAGGGAGAGCGCAAACGTCTATTCCTTGTCACTGCCTTTAACACTTCTCATTGGTTTGATTCCATATCGGGTGGGAGGGATGCTTCTTTTTCTTCTTCTTTTTTTGGGTTTCTACTCTCGGAGGTTGATAGAATATACAGGACATGATTTGCGTCTGTTCTCTGTCATCCATGCTGTCATCAACGTGGCATTTTTTGTTCTTTTTTTTTTATCGTTTTGTTTTGTGTTTGTGTCTTGAAACGAATCAGACCTCATGCCCATGCTGTGGAGATTCTGTGGTCAGCACTTGATAATGAATGTGGATTTCTTTACCCCTTACTTACTTGTTGTCTTTTGAAAGGAAAAAAAAAAGAACATGTAATCGAATGTCACGTACCGACTAGTATTTTTCTCTAAAGTCATCGCTCTGACACCCACCTGCACCTCTCGCTCTCTTCTCCCGCTCGCGAAAGTCCGCCGGCGACGCACCACACCGTAATGAAGGTTCTCTCCACGCATCGATGAAGTTTAATTTAACATGCCAATGAATGAGGGAGAAATCATGCCGGTTATGATTTATCCGTAGAAAATTGTACTCTAAAACAGCCCCCCCCCCCTCGACCACAGCAGTGCGCGTCGAGCTGCAACACAATTTCTGATCACTGTCTAAGTCAAGGCTTTTTAAAAGAAAAAAAAAATCTCATAAAAATGTCAGGTGTAATGATTTAGACCAGCTAATTGTGATTCTGAAAACGCCACACTTAATCACACTAGACTCTCTCATGCTTTGATGTGACTAGGCCGTGCATTCCCCATTGTTTGTGTGTGTGTGTGTGTGTGTGTGTGTTGTGTTTTACTAACTGTACAAAGATGAAATGTTAATTTTACTGAGTAGAAGTAAACGCCAAAATCTGCAATGAGAACAGACCAGACTATAGCACATTCCAGCCAAAATATTGCGAAAATACCATTGAATTACTGGTCTCATTGTTGTAACGTTTAAATGAAAATAAAATAATGATTTAAAAATACATTCGAGAAAAAAATATAAAATAAAATGAGTGCATAAATTAAAGTCGCAAAAATAGCTGTAACCATTTCGACAGGTCCTGTTTATCCAAAAGTCAAATTATTTATAGTATCATGAGGCTACGTTGTAATCCCAAAAAAGACCACAACACCAAGACTCCAATCAACCACTTTCCTTATTTATTGTTTTGAGTATTTTTCAACATGTTTTTTTTTTATATTATTGTCGATGTTTATGGAATTCCTGTGACTACCAAAGATTACGTCTGCATTGCAATAGCAGATTAGGCAAAAAAAAATATCGGATCCGTTGGATGTGTCAGTCGCTGAGAGGAGCCGATGATGAGGTTGTGGAAGGAGCTCGTCCAATGTTCTCATGAGTTTTGTGTCGATCTGACTGAAACTGGGCTGCTGTCTCCATGCTCGCAGTGGCCATAGTTATAGTTGACTAAGAAACTGAAAACCCAATTATTAAAAGTGTATGTCTGTCCATTCCTCTTTGTGTCCTTGAAATTCTGGCCATTTGCAGCAATACATAAGCAGAATAAGAATTTGGATTTGGGACTGGTTGGATCGGTATTCAACAAACAATTATCCTTAAATGTAAAAAAGTGCATCATGTTTTCTTTATGTTTAAAGACAAAAATGGAAAGCTTGCACTGCTTACTTACCGGACATAATCTTGATTGAGAATGTTTCAATACAGATTCAGAATAGTTCAGATTTTTGGAAATGTCTCAACAACAACAATAACATGACATGATCTGCCACCATACATGTACGTTAGCTTCAGCTGCTTGAGTGAGAAGCTTGTTTGTAGACAGAGGAATGGACAGTAGTAGCCGTGGCAGGACCGTGAGAACAGCGGAGAGCTCTTCCCCAAACCTCACTCACATCCCGGGGCAGGAGGCGCTGGTCGAGTCCAAACATTCTCAGCATGTGCAGCCTGACATTACTAAAGATAACAGCATGAGAAAACGGTTAGCGTGCATACCTCAGTTCAAACCTATAGGGAATGACTCAATCAAGCAAGAAAAAGAACATTTCACTCACTTGCACTTCGCTGTATGTATTGCATGTGTAATCGAATTCAAATCTCAGGCTTTTTGTTGACACGCTGTATCCTGTTCCACTGGGTTGTTTTTGAGGGTTGTACATACATGTCTGCATTGTCGTCTCCCCTTCTGTCACTTTTTATCTGAAAATACATTTGTGTTATGATGTTTGCTTATGCCTTTGTATTACCTGAAATAGCTACAAGAAAAACTACTGTATGTATTGGAAATAGCAAACTGTGCTGCAAATGTATTTTACTTAGAAGTCTTTAAAAAGACTTGTGGGTGAGCGGGGCTGGGGCAGCTGTAAAATAGACAGATTTTCTCTTTTCACTGACCGAAGCGTTTTGTATAGATTTTCTTTTTTCTGTTTTGATACTTCCTTTTAAAGGTCCAAGCACTGCCTTCTGTCGGCTGTTGTCTACGTGCGTCTCAATGATGATTGGGACTTCTTGCATGACTTATCCAAGGGTCACAGCAAACAGGGGTTTTAGTGGTCAGTAATAATATAAGGGTGTAACATTCTACTATTTTATATGAAATAAATAGGAAAATTAAGAAAAATATGCAGTGCCAAGATGTAAAGACTATTGTTAAACATTGTTTTTGTTCTCTTGGACAATTCCCACATTTATGCATCAAAGATGTTTCATCAGTACCACTTTTTTGACTTTAGGGTCATTGTAAATGAGTCCTATCAAGCACAGCGAATCAGTCGAGCACAGGTCAAGACATAGATGCAACATGAGAACAGGATCTCACACTTACACAGTAAAGAGAGAAAGACAATGCATTCCAAAGATTATAGATCCTCAAAATCTTAGACTATGTTTGAGTCACATTTTTCTTCAATGCAGCTAATTCTAACTGACTAAAAGTTCTGTCCAATAATAGAAATCAAAAACAAATGATGAAATGAGTACTGTATCTATCATGTTTCCACCCCTGAGATTTCAAACCCATATATGGTGATAGGGGTGTGTCTGCTGGACCAGAGGCTCCGCCCACACATCCCCATCACAAAGTGCTCCTTGTGCGGGGAAGGAGTCGTCACGGCAACGCCAATCATTCTTCTTTTTGTTTTTATTTCTTATGCTCATCACCTCCATCTTGATCATTCCTGGTGCGTCTGAAGCAGAGCATTCTAAACATGCAATAAATTGCTGGTTGATCAGAGTTCTAGTGTCTTTGGCTTTTTATTCCTCTACAAGATAAAAATGTGATGACCTGAATGACTTTACAAGTGAGAATAAACTAGGTGTGAAGCAGGGCCTCGGAGCTGCCTCAAGGGGGAAAAAAAAACAAAGAAAAGGTTTTAACCAGTTTAACATATTATTTACATCGTTTTTATGTTCATAACGTACTAAAGTAGGTCATAATGTCACTCCAAAAGGACGAACCTGACAATCAAATCACAGTTAAATATTAATTAAGAATATCAACGTGGGCTGAATAAAGGTTTTCTTCAATTAGCAGTTTTACCACTGACCTCCATATACTTGTAAAATCCAGTTTTTTATGTCTTTATTTTGACTAAAATGGCTGAACACAGCTCTTGTTTGTCGCCTCCATCTTCAGCCCTAAATTATCTTCTAATTAAAAATAGACAGATTAACAGCCTTCCTTTCAGCAATTTAGGTAACTGCATTTGATCAGCTATAAATTGTGGAAGCATTAAAATCACAGAAATAATAGCAGTATGAGTTTGGTGATGTGTCTAATGCGGCTGCAGCCACATGTTTTTATGACGAGGACGCAGGTCACGCTGACCACTAAACACCAGGCAGGGATCAGGCCTAAGCACTTTTAATCTTGTGAAACAAGCAATTACAAACAGTTGCATTGATTTGTTAAAAAGCTTTAGGTGACATAAATCGTTTGCTTCAGAGCTTCTCGTTGCTAAACATAAATGTCATGAGTGTTATTAATTAAGGCCTTTGAGAGACAAGATTTAATGGAAACAATATAAAATCATAAGCAGTCTTTCCGCGGGCTGTATTTCAGCAGATTCACGCAGAGCGGCCTTGTTGTTCTGACACTGATGGCACAGCGAACACTCTCTAATGGAAGCTGTTTGTGTCCAATCACATAAATTCATCACAACTCCGCACAGGCATTAACATGTGATATGATTAGACTCCATAAAGGTGGATGAAATATTAATGGGGCCATGGATATACTGAGCAGTGACAGGACCGGCCTGTAGCCGCTCGCTAAATCAAGCACTGACATTCACTTTATCCTACACACATATACACCTTCTCGAAAGTTACACTGAGTGGTCTTCTTCTTCCATGCACCATCATCCTCCACATAGACTGACAGACCACAGCAGAAAAAATCCATTGAGATTGAGTTACTCATTTAGAATGGTGAACATTCATGAAGAGATGTATAATCATAATCAACAGATCTTTTGGACTGTTTTCATAAAAGTGCAGTGGTTTATATATAAACAGCGCTAATGGCCTGTGAGGCATCCCTTAGAATGTTCTCTATGATTTTAACTTGCATTTTACTTTTCTGGTGAGTGTCTGGCCTCTGTTGTGTCCTTTTAGACTTTATGCGTGAAACCGCACATACAAATAAACAGTATTCTTTTAACGAATCCTGGGCATAATTTCTTACACACAAGTATATTTACAAAAATAACACACATTTCTGTTGAGTTTTTGCACCAGTTGGACAAGACCAGCTTGATTTGGTCATTCATAGATCACAATCTTTACTTGTAAACTAATGTATGCCACATTGTTGCACGTTCGCTCTGTAAGTGAACCAGGTGCCTCTGCTTCATGATGAAGTAACATCAATGCATTGGTTTTGGACGCTCAAAGACACTTCATATGGCATTTTTCTCTCACTCCTTGCTGTATACTTGCTGTACTATATAAAGTATTTTGTATCCACACATAGGCTGGAAGTTTTCATGATTTACTGTGAGCTTAAGCAACAGCTGCCAGAGCAAAACAAACAATAGACAACTGTTTTAACTGATCACAACATGATGTAATACCAAGGTTGTTTTTACTATCGATGATCAAAGCTCTCGGATAAACCCAATCTATTTTGACCTTAAACATGTGTCTCATCCCTACCGGTTCTTGGCCACATTTCTATATCGGCCGCAGGGTTCAAAGTACTGTAACACTTGCCACTGACAAAAGTGAAGCAACAAGTTTGTGTCATTATTCACGCACACACCAGCCTCGCACTTGGCAACTGTTTGTCTGCAGCCGCCTGTAGCACCTGCTCTCAGAGGTCTCCCATCACAGTGCTAACTAGGCCCTGTCTTGCTTTGCTTCTGAGGTCTATCAGGATCAGGCTTTCACGTGCAGGTGGGAATTTTAACTTGATTACACTTTCATCTATTCTGCTAATTACAGCAACTTTAATTTGACACAAACACGGATTACTTCCACCAATGTTTGAAGTGTGTGCACTATCCAACCTGCCGCATCTGCCCGTCTATTTATCACCACCCGACTACAAAAACAAATGTGCTTCTGACTTGATTGTAATTACAGACAGACACAGCCTCATCCATTCTGCTAACGCTTACACTCTGATCTGGCAAACTCCCAACATGGAGACAATTAATATTCCCACTGTTTGCTATCCACAGTTTGATGTCAGAATTTGTTTATTAAGACCGGCTGCAGGCGCTGCTGTGCAATCGACCTGCTTGTAATTAGATCCCAATTATTTGTCTATTTCGGATATTGTAAACCGGGCACTTAGCACATCAGTTAAATTGACAGAGCGTGCTGCATGGTTTGCTCCATAATTAAAACGTGTAGTGTTAATTAGATGATGACCACTTTATTCCAGGGGGGCGCTCTTGTGTCTACGCAGGGGCCCTCCTGAGCTGTTTGCATGGAGAGTTTAGCCAGACGCTTCCCCTAATGAGGCCTTGTTTTGTTTCAATTACCACACGCTGTTCAAAAGACACGGCTCGCTGGCCCGCCGACGCAAGAATACACACCACAACAAACACAGTGGGCCCGGGATCCGTCCGACCTGCAGCTGCAGCGCTAATACAAGGCTCGCTTTCAAAGAGAGGCCAGGCAATTAAAACACGGCCAACTAAAGCGAGATGAAAGTATAAAGGTGCTTATCACATCAGTTAGCAGGGCTCCACGTCGGGCGCCAATGCTAATTACACTCATTGGGTAAATAGGCGAGATGCTCAGATGTCTCCTTCGCCTGCAAACAGAGGGGAGAGGGCGGGGATCCACTCACAGCCCACTGAAGCTGGAGACAGGGGGAAGGATGGCTACTCCGCTTCACAACAACTGGTGTGGTGCTTTATGGTGTTGTGTGGTGTTGTGTGATGTTGTGTGGTGTTGTGTGGTGTTGTGTGGTGTTGTATGGTGTGTTATGGTGTTGTGTGGTGTTGTGTGGTGTTGTGTGGTGTTGTATGGTGTTGTATGGTGTTGTGTGGTATTGTATGGTGTTGTATGCTGTTGTATGCTGTTGTATTATTTTGCATTATTTTTACACATTGTATGTATTTTATTTAAGGCAAGGCAAGGCAAGTTTATTTGTATAGCACAATTCATACACAAGGGGTTACTCTTTGACCCTCATTCCTCATTCCCACATGTTTGTGAATAGGGTCTAAGGACACAAGGTGGGTTAATTTGCTCATTTTCATGAACCGATGACATTCTTGACTTGTGAGTTGTGTGAGGTGAGTGTTGGTTCAATAAAAAAGTCATATTAGGTTTGATGATTTTGGCAGTGGAACCTCCCCTTTAATTGAATTAAATTCAGACTACATCTAAACTTGGTTTCCTATAGCACAAGTCATACAAAGGGTGCTTAAGGTGAACCACAAAACAAGAAAGAAATTGTACGGCTTGTATCAAAATAAATAATCACGCAACCTACATTTAACAGCTGTTAAATGTAGGTTGTGTGATTTTTTTAAAAGCCTTTAATTGTGTGTCTAGCTTAACTCTATCTGGATTTGATAGTTATCCAGATAGAGTTTCCCCTATGACAAAAAGCATATATGAAAGGCGAAAAAGGTTTCTGGGAGTCCCGGCCCCACTCCCCTGAAAAAGAGATTCTGAAATATCAATGGAACTGTAGGGCGTTGAAAAAAGAATAAAACAGGCGTTAATGTGCTGCCGTATAGAAGAAACTTTTGTTCCGCAAACAAGCAATAACTCTCCCATTCTTCAAAAACATACACACGCATGTAACCGCTTCCATTTACATAAATGTGTTAAACATTTACTGTAAACTGCCTGATGTATATACAAACCCCAAAGCACCTCTATGCAATATTCATCTTTATCTACACTATCCATAATTGTTCTGTTCTTTCTGTGGCAGCCGCCGCACTCATGCAGAAAGGCGGATTGCGACAGAAATACCTCAATATGGACTTTGTCAGATGGATGCAAAAATCACAGTAGCATTTAAACACGGGCGGCTGTATTTACCTGCTGAACCGGCTGACTTTACACTGATGCTCCTCTAATCTGAATGAGTGGCATGCTAATTCTGCCGACAGTGCCATTCAAAAACACAAACACACATGTTGGTTTTAGAAGCTGGGGGGACCTGCCGGAGTGAATTTCAAGTGCTTATTCAAATATTTCATTAAAATGTAAATTTCTACAACGGGCCGACGTGGAGCTGTGCACAAGGCATGACTTTAGAAGTTATGAAGTTATAGTGTTTTCTGCCTGATGCCAATTAGCTGTGGGGGAGGAGGAGGCGGAGGGAGGGAAGGGGGGGCACAGCGTCCAACGGCTTTATCACAACACAGCAGTGAAGAGTGTGCAACAGGAGGGAGTTATCGACAGCTCGGGCAGAGGGAAAAACATGAGGAATCCAATCAATACTCTTATCTGCAGCGAGAGCTAATGAAGAGATGGAATTAAGGCAAAGGGACATGCAAATGAGTGACACTGGACGCGGCAGACACGGCTCTATCTCACTCCAGCAACAGGCAGGCTCCCTGGATTGTGAATTTCTGCACTTTTATGGTCGTATTTCCAATAAGACCTCTGAAATGCATAAACAAATGTTGTTTTGTAACTTAACTGACCTTTGACATCATACATCCCCGACCAAGTGATGATTAAAGTTGCGGGACCAAACATGATTTTGTCTGCACTGCAAGATAATATAATAATAATAAAATTTGGTCAAATATATGACAATTAAGCACATTTTGACCAGATTTACCAAAGGAAAAGGCAAAATGATGGGTTAAAAAGATACAAGAAATGTCTCCCAAAAGTTTTTGACAATTCTTGAAAAAAGACTAAATGGCTTCGTCTCATTGGCAAATCTTGTTTTAAGACAGTCAGAATGTAAATGATAAAAACTTGATTCAAGCAATTATTACCTCATATTCTCTCACTTTTTGAAGTGTATAATTAAATATGTTTCTGATTTCTGTAAATCTAATCTAATGTTGTCCAATGTGGTTTTACTGCAAATGGCAAATAAAAATCAATCTGAATTATTATTTATTTTTCTGTCTGAAAATGCTTTTTTAAAGATATGACAGAGACCAAACATACATACAGTGCCTTGCGAAAGTATTCGGCCCCCTTGAACCTTTCAACATTTCGCCGCATTTCAGGCTTCAAACATAAAGATATAACATTTTATTTTTTTGTCATGAATCAACAACAAGTGGGACACAATCGTGAAGTGGAACGAAATGTATTGGATAATATTTAACAAATAAAAAACTGAAAAGTCGGCCACTTTACTTTCAGTGCAGCAAACTCACTCCAGAAGTTCAGTGAGGATCTTTGAATGATCCAATGTTGTCCTAAATGACTGATGATGATAAATAGAATGCACCTGTGTGTAATCAAGTCTCCGTATAAATGCACCTGCTCTTTGATAGTCTCAGGGTTCTGTTTAAAGCGCAGAGAGAACCATGAAGACAAAGGAACACACCAGGCAGGTCCGAGATACTGTTGTGGAGAAGTTTAAAGCCGGATTTGGATACAAAAAGATTTCCCAAGCTTTAAACATCTCAAGGAGCACTGTGCAAGCAATTATATTGAAATGGAAGGAGTATCAGACCACTGAAAATCTACCAAGACCCGGCCGTCCCTCCAAACTTTCATCTCAAACAAGGAGAAGACTGATCAGAGATGCAGCCAAGAGGCCCATGATCACTCTGGATGAACTGCAGATAACTACAGCTGAGGTGGTAGAGTCTGTCCGTAGGACAACAATCAGTCGTGCACTGCACAAATCTGGCCTTTATGGCAGAGTGGCAAGAAGAAAGCCATTTCTCAAAGATATCCATAAAAAGTCTCGTTTAAAGTTTGCCACAAGCCACCTGGGAGACACACCAAACATGTGGAAGAAGGTGCTCTGGTCAGATGAAACCAAAATTTAACTTTTTGGCCACAATGCAAAACGATATGTTTGGCGTAAAAGCAACACAGCTCATCACCCTGAACACACCATCCCCACTGTCAAACATGGTGGTGGCAGCATCATGGTTTGGGCCTGCTTTTCTTCAACAGGGACAGGGAAGATGGCTAAAATTGATGGGAAGATGGATGGAGCCAAATACAGGACCATTCTGGAAGAAAACCTGTTGGAGTCTGCAAAAGACCTGAGACTGGGACGGAGATTTATCTTCCAACAGGACAATGATCCAAAACATAAAGCCAAATCTACAATGGAATGGTTCACAAATAGACGTATCCAGGTGTTAGAATGGCCAAGTCAAAGTCCAGACCTGAATCCAATCGAGAATCTGTGGAAAGAGCTGAAGACTGCTGTTCACAAACGCTCTCCATCCAACCTCACTGAGCTCGAGCTGTTTTGCAAGGAAGAATGGGCAAGAATTCCAGTCTCTCGATGTGCAAAACTGATAGAGACATACCCCAAGCAACTTGCAGCTGTAATTGCAGCAAAAGGTGGCGCTACAAAGTATTAGCGCAAGGGGGCCGAATAATATTGCACGGCCCACTTTTCGGTTTTTTATTTGTTAAAAAAGTTTAAATTATCCAATACATTTCGTTCCACTTCACGATTGTGTCCCACTTGTTGTTGATTCTTGACAAATAATTTAATTTTTATATCTTTATGTTTGAAGCCTGAAATGTGGCGAAATGTTGAATGGTTCAAGGGGGCCGAATACTTTCGCAAGGCACTGTACATGTGAGAACTGGGGATTGAACCAATGTATTTTTGAGCCGAGTTACATGGATTTGTATTGCATCCATTTGGGTTTGGGTGACCTTGCTCTGTAAAAATGTGCTATATAAATTAAGATGACTTACTATTAAAAAAGTCCTGAACCGTTTGCAGCTTGTTCCTCACTTTCTCATACATTTTGAACATCCAAATGACTCACCACAATAAGCTCATAATTGCGTTTCTCCACAGAGGAGGAAAAACGCAGTGAAAGTGCTGTGATATAGAAAACAAGTGCCAATACATTTGTACAAGCGCATTTCCTTTTTCTCTGAGACTAAAACTGCCCATAATTAGGTGCAGTGATATTATGCTCAGGGGGAAATTAAACAATTTAGAGAGGAGTGAAATGACCGGCCTCCTGCTGGTGCCCAGAGTTAGGGCTAACATGGGGAGTCAGCGTTTTAGATTCATGGACCAGTCTTCCTGAAAATGTGAGACCAGCCTATATTCATGTGGTTCAAATCCAGGTTATAAATAGCTATACATTTGGGTTTTTTTAAACTTATAAATCACTCTTTGTGCGCCAAAGATGAATAAATCCATTATTCTTCCCATAGTGAGGAAATGTGTCTGTTTATGTGTCTGTTATATCAACATATGTAATAATTAGTACTCTGCGGTTTCTAAATGAATATATAATCGTCAATATAATGTCAAATGAGGAGTAATATTAGATCAAGCACTTTGAAAAAGACAACATCTCTATCTGCAGCTTAATAAAGAAAGAAATTATATATTTAAAAGGTATACACAAGCCTGAGTCATTAAAACACTTTAATGCTTACAGGTGAGGTAAACAACTAAATAACAAAATTACCATTATGAAAATCAAGAACATTATAAAAGCATCATTTTGTGAACAAATCAAAACCACAAAGAGCTGGAAAACAATTATTAACAATTAAACTAAGCGAGTGTGGTTATCTCTAGTTTAGTTTTCTGATTTTTATCTTAAAAATCTGTTCAAGAAACCAAAAAAAGGCCATGCATGAACGCTAGTAATGAACCAAACTGTTTCGTGAGCTACATGTCTATGCTTGTTGCAGTTTTAAAAAATCAGGTACCCCAGCTTTACCATGCAATAACATTTCCTATATATGGTGCCTTCTTTCCCCCCATTAAAAGTTACACAGTGAAGTAAGCAGATGACTGAAAGAGCGTTCCCTTTTGATATCCGCGTATTTCTCCTCTCATTCCAAACTTGCGAAATGGTTGCAGGTGGAGATGAAAATAAGAGCCATCCATCATTATTTATTAGGCATGAAAAAGATACACAATAATGTAATTTAATCTCTCGGCAGACAATTATTTCCACATTGATAACGCAATACGAAAAGTGCCATGAATCCTAATATGATGTTTGCTTTTATTGGTGTATGATACAAGCAGAACAAATAATGTGATTGTGTCAGCCTGAAAATGTGATTATTTGCACAAGCTAACACTATAATGGCAATCTGCTGCCGACATTGCTATCCGATTATTTGGCTGTGCTTAACTAGTTACAATTTGCATTAAGTTATTATAGCTGGATGGCAATAAAAGACAGCGCTGTGTGTCTCCTCTCCACGTTTCACTTTCTCATTACAGGCCCAACACACTTTTATGCCGAGATGAAGCCGTTGATATTACAAGAGCAGGGGACCAATAAACAGTCAGGTCTCTCATATAAACATGCTTTGCAGCTCAGGGGCCACGCAGGTCAGCAGACTGTAACACAGAGAGTTCTAATGTAGTGGACTTATGGACACGACGTCACTGTTATAGGAGCAAGAGCGTCCATAGTGTAGTGAGCTCTGTTTTTTGCAGGCTGATTGCGACTTTTCAACAGAACGTCTATGAGTGTAGTGTCAGTGTATTCAGACCTTGTCGATATGAAAGTGCATTGTTGACCCGTAGCAGTTTAAGAGGGTGAGACTGTTTTTCCATAGCATTTGTCCATAGAATGTTCATCCATTCATCCTTTGTATTCCCCTTAATCCATTTCAGGGGGGTAGCACCCAGTACACATAGCACCAGCCTCTCCTCCTGCAGGTGGTGAATCTACAGGAGCTTTGATTATTCAGCGGGGGCTTCAGGCAAAGTGGGGTTAAGTGTCTTGCCCAAGTACACAACGACAGTAGACATCAGTGGGAGTTATGAAGTAGGTCTTGTGGTGGGCTCAAACCCACGACCTTCACGCCCAAAGGCCAATGCTCTACCAACAGAATCACTGTCGCCCTAGAATGTTCATTTATTTCTGTAATTGAACTTATAATGTGCAACCAATATATACACTAAGTACAAAGTGACCTACTGTATGTTTTGTTTGGGGTTTTTACAAGTTGTGAGCTAAACTGTGTGTGTGTAGTTTGTGTATTTCTTTCTTGGAACCAATGGATTAGCAGTCTCAGAATCGTCATAATATAGTTGAATTTGGAGAGCATATTTTGATTAATTCATAATAATTCATTTGATTTAAATGTTGACCCCTCACATCTAACCCTGTAAACACCATGGTCTAGTTGTTAAGCCTGCAGAAAGACATTACATACAGGAACAACATTTTCTGCATTAGGCACTTGGCAACATATTCCAGCAGTTCGCTTTCTTTGCACATCTAGTTGCACCCCTGGTACATATTCAACAGGGTCCACAATTTCCCACTTTCGCTCAAAAAAGATCTGCCTTTTTCTAAATGTGTT